CCTCAATCGATGGGTATAAGTCTTTGGGAACTCATGAGTACTGATTTCCCCAACCTTCAAGAATAGGAATGTTTACCCTAGAAAGAGAAAACTAAAGGGTGACTTAATTAGAGTCTCTCTAGTAAAGGCTCTTTGTTGGGAAGAGGATGGGGATAGATTTGAGCCCAAATTTAGGTTCTTCCAGTTTATGGGCAACAGAACTGAACAACAGAAAATGGGCTTAACTGAAAACAGGAAAATTGTGGCTCCATATAAGGAAAAGCTGCTTGGTGAAACATAAATTACTCTATGCCAAACATTAAACAATAGAAGCATTAATTTAAAACTTGCAGAGGCCTTTGGAAGACATTGGGTGCCACCCCTTCATTTTGCAAATGAGAAAAATAAGGCCCAGAAATATTAGGTCACTTGCCAAAAATTATTCATGTAGCAAGTATCAGAACTAGCATTTGAACTCGGGTCCTTTGACTCAGAATCAGTGGTTTATCGCTCTACTCTTGTATTGATGGGGATGGGATCTGAATTCCTAAAAGGAAAAGACCATGTCTTTGGGATGTGGACCCCAAAAAGGAAAATCCCTGGATTTTCCCAAAACCCTGGAGTTTGCCTGAGGCTGTAATCCACTTAACTGGCCTTTCATTGTGACTACTCCTAATCTCCCAATTCCATTCTGTTACCTCCCAATTGCCCCTGGCCACTTCCCACCCTAAATCCTATCTAGACTCCATTGTCCCTGGGCCACTTGGTCCAGGTCCCTGAAGTTCTGTTCACCCCAGTTCACTGGCCACTCCCATCCAGATCCTCTTTAGACCCCTGCTCTAGTCACCCCAGACTACTTGGCCACTCCTGGATCCCTCCCATAGTCTTTCTGTATATAAGATTCATCTTATCTCCATTAAGGTGCTCAGATTCTTATAATCTAGCCAAGGGCTCAGATTCTTAAGATCTGGCCCTCTTGCATTAGTGATACAAATGTTTAGATTCCTTAAGAATCTGGCAAATATGTCAGATGTTCTAATAAACCTTGTCTTTGGTTGAAAGAAGGCTTGGGTCGAATTCATTTAGGCAGGACCCGAGTGTTGTGATTTTGGGGTCCCAGCACCCCTAAACCTCTAACTTCAACAGTACCTCAAAAAAAAAACCCCAATCTTCTATTTCATGAGAATCTTTTTTTTGTGTGTCTGGCAACTAGTACAAATCATTTTGAAGCTCAATGTCTGGAAAGTTGGTCATTTTACTTGATTTTGGAAGTGGAAAAAGTCATTAGTGTAATGTTACTTCCAAATCTAATGGCCTTTTCTCAATCTTCATCCTTCTTGAGCTCTCTGCAGCCTTTGACAATGTTGATCACTCTCTTCTCTCTAGGTTTTTTGACTTTGCTATCTGACCTATTTTTCTCAGTTTCCTTTGATGACTCTTCATCCAGGTCAGTTGATGGTAGCTCTGTGCTGAGCCCTCTTCTCCCTCTGTACTATTTTACTTGGTGATCTCATCAGTTCCCATGGGTATAATTATCATCTCTATGCAGATGACTAGCATACTTATATAGATTTCCCTTGTCTCTCCTGATCAGTCACACATCACTAAATGCCAACTGAACATTTCAAACTGGCCATCCTGTAGGCATCTCAAACTCAACACATTCAAAAGAAAACTCATCATATTTCTCAACCCTCCTCTGAACTTCCCCATTATTGTCAACAGCACCATCTTCCTCCACGTCATCTTGGTTTACCACCTAGGAACCATCCAGGATTCCTTAGAATCCCTCAGTCTCCATATCAATTCTTGTCACTTCTGTCTCCACAATATCTCTTGAATAATCCATTCCCTTAGCTCTATAGATGCAACCGTGGCCCAATTGTCTCTTACCAGAACTGTTTCACCAGCTTCCACATTTGTCTACTTGACTCAACTTTCTACTCTCTCTAATCCATCTTCCATAAAGCTACCAAATCACTCCTCTGCTGAATAAATTCCAGTGGCTTCCTCTAAAATTGAATGTAAAGGGGCAGCTAGGTGGCGCAGTGGATAGAGTGCAGGCCCTGGAGTCGGGAGGACCTGAGTTCAAATCTGACCTCAGACACATAACACTCAGTAGCTGTGTGACCCTGAGCAACTCACTTAACCCCATAGCCTAGCCCAAAAAACCCCTTCCTCCAAAAAAACCAAAAGCAAAACAAAATTGAATGAAAGTCCTCTATTTGGCATTTTAAGCTCTCTAAAACTTCACATCAACCTACCTTCCCAGCCTTATGCTTCCCTTGCATACTCTATGGTTTAGACAAACTGACCTTGTTGTCTCTCCTGCATGGCCCTCTGTCTCCTGTCTCCAAGCTTCTGCACTTCATCTCCATCCTTCTTTCTTCACCTCAGCTTCTTAGAATCCATAGCTTCTTTGCAAAATCACAAATAACCAACCCCAAAAAAAGATATAAGAAAACATCCCAACCCCACTCTTTTGCAGAGGTTGGAGGTTCATTGCAGATGTGTTCAGATTTTTTAAAAATGTAATGAGCAGCTTTGCTTATGATTTGTTCCCTTTAGACTGTGAGTTCCTTGATGATGGAACTGTCTTTTGCTTCTTTTTGTATCCCCAATGTTTAGCATAGTGCCTGGGACATAGTAAGTATTTAATAAGTGTTCATTGACTGGCAAAAAAAAAAAAAGAATCCATAGCTTCCTTCAAAACTTTGCTTGAACATCACCTTCCACATGAAGCCTCTTCTAATCCTCCCCTGGTTGTTGGCACCTCCCCCTTCCCACCCCCAAATCCTCATACACACACCATATCTATATTTATATATGCACCTACTGTTTCCCCAATAAACTGTAAGCTTCTTGAGGGAAGGGACTGTTTCATTCTTTTGTATCTCTAGTGCCTGGCATAGAATAGTCAACTAATAAATGTTTGCCAATAGATTGGTTAATTAATTGATTGATTGAACTGGAGGCTCAGGAAAAACTTCCTGTCACAGAGTTTTCACCCGAGTTCAACCTTGAAAGAAGGTGGGGATTCTCAGTGGTGTAGATGAGGAGGGAGCTCGGAACATGAATGAAGGACAGACTGGGCCAAAGCACAAAGCTGGAGATGGAGTGGCAATTTGGGGCAATGGGCTGTAGGACAATTTGGATAGAATATAAAGTGAGTGAGGGGAAGTAAAAAGAAATGTCTGGAAGTAGTTGGGAGTCTAAGAGAGAATTCATATAAAGCTTTCAGGTTTTCACAGTTCTTTACATATGTTACCTTACATGATCCTGAAAACAACCAGATTAGGTAGGTGGTATTATGATGCCTATTTTCCAGATTGAGGAAACTGAAGCTAAAAGAGGTTAAGTGACTTACCCAGGGTCACACAGGTAAGTACCTGATGATGGATACAAACTTTGGTTTTTCTGATTCTCAGTCCAACACTTTGGACATGCTAGACTGAGGAATTTGTGCTTTCACTTAAAAGCAGAAGGGAGTGCTATGAATTGGTCCAGCCATTCAGTAAAGCAATTTAGAACTATGTCCAAAAAGTTACTAAAATTTTGTATACCCTTGACTCAGCAATGCAATTACTAGGTCATCTACCTCAAAGAGATCAAAGAAATAAGCCACAGGGCCATAAACACAAAAATATTAATAACAGCTCTTTTGTGTTATAACAAAGAACTGGAGACTAAGACGGTAGCCATCAAATGGGGGAATGATCGAATAAATTATGGTATGTTAATATCCTGGAATATTATTGCATCATAGAAATTATGAAAGGAGAGGTTTGAGAGAAAGCTGGGGAAAGTTGTATGAATCAACACTAAGTGAAGTGAGCAGAACCAGGAAAACAATTTCTACAAAAACAACTTTGAAAGACTTAAGAACTCCTTTGAATGTAATGACCAACCAAAATTCCAGTGGATAAAGCATATTACTCACTTCCTGACAGATGCAGAATAAGACATATTGAGGCAGCTAGGTGGTGCCGTGGATAGAGGACTGGCCCTGGATTGAGGAGGACCTGAGTTCAAATCTGGCCCCAGACACATAACACTTACTAGCTGTGTGACCCTGGGCAAGTCACTTAACCCCACTGCCTAACCAAAAAAACAGAATAAGACATATTTTTAGGTGTGACCAATGGGAAAATTTGTTTTGCTTAACTAGGTATATTTCTTTGAAATGTTTTCTTTTCCCCTAACTGGGGAAGGGGATAAGGATAAAGTCACAAAACAAAAAGGGAGAAAAAGAAAAGAAAGAAAAAAGTCATTGAAGCATTTAAGAAAAAAAATGCACAGAGAAGGCCAGTGAGAACCACATACAAGAAGACAATTTTGAAAGTTACACATTAAATTTAATATATTTAAAAAGAAAAACAAGTTTTATATATAATACAGATTTGCAGTTTCCTGTACAATCTTCTTTCCTGTATTACTCTGTATATAGAAGTGTCCATTTTATTTGGTGTTTGTTAGGTTCAGAATTTTTAAAAAATTAAAAGCCATATGGAGCCACTGAAGATTCTTGAGCAGGGGAGTAACACAGTCTTACTTTTATTTGAGGAACATTAATTTGGCAGCTGTGTAGAGGATAGATTTGAGATGGGAGAGAATGAAAACAGGGAGAGCAATTAGGTGGCTATTACAGCAGTCCAGGTTGAATGTTGAGGAAAACTTGAACCAAGTAGTAATTATGTGATTGGAGAGAAAGTGACAGACAGGAGAGAAGCTGAGGTAAAATTGCAAGACTTGACGATTGTATTTGAGACATGGGGGGCAGGGGAGGGCAGAGAGAAGAGTTGAGGCGGAGTCTAAAGTTGAAAACCTGGGTGACTGTGGGTAATGGTGGTCCTCTCAACACAGCTGGGAAATATGGAGGAGAATTAATGAGAAGTTACCTAGTGCCTTTTGTATGACTGGGGATAAAAGTCAGGGCAGTTTAGAACTCCAACACCTTCTTGTTGGTAACAGATGCAGTATCAATCTTACTGGGTCTCTCCCTTCATTTTACAGTTTCTTACCTTCACTTTTTTCCCATCTATCTCAAGACAGCGCACAGTGAAGTCCACACCAATTGTGTTCTGCTGTGTGTCTGTATAGAGTCCAGATTTAAAGTGTTGTACCACGCATGTCTTCCCCACATTTGAGTCTCCAATGAGGATGATCTTGAACAAGTAGTCAAAAGTCTCGTCTGGTGCCCGGATGAAACTGGAAAACTGCATGGTTCTTAGGGCTCAGGTGGGTCAAGGGGGACAAAGAGGAGAAATATAGATTTTAGGATATATTTGGGTATTGAAAGACACTCTGGGAGGGGAGATGCCCTCACATAGATAGGCTCACGCCTGTTAGAGATGTGATAGGTTTCTGGGAATGTCTCTAAGACAAAGATATCCTCATTTTCCCTTCTAGGTCTAGCTTAAGGCCACTTCATATTCTGTCCCCTCTGTAGTTAACACCACTGACAAACTCCAGTCATGGTAAAATAACATAAACAAATTCCCACATACTAACGTAAATCAATTACCATAATGAAGACATCAAAAGAACCTAGAAACCATCCCAGCCAGCAAAGACTCGATTTGCAAGCAGAGATATCTAGCAGCCAAGGGCAACACCAGGCTAGAAAATAAAATAATTTGTAAAAGTTCAGAGAAGAGGATGATAGAAGGTTATGATCAGTAGTGCCTCTTAAAACAGTGAAAAGCAGTGCAGGGAAAAACAGTTTTATAGGAAACTGAGTAATACCCAACAAGACAAAAATCATCCCCAGGATAAAACGGACAACAAAGATTAAAAAAGCAAAAGCCCTGTAGAAATTTCTATGATCAACTTTAATCCATCAATGACAATGAAGTTACAATATTTGGACTCTATCATCACAGGTCCCATTGTGCCTGTAGAAGGATGTAAAAAGCCTGAAAGAAAACAAAGATGGGAAAAGCAGCTGGCCCAGACCAAGTATACACAGAAGTCCGTGTGGGAAGAGATACAATAATGAGCTCATTGATGGATAAATTTTCAAAGTATTTGAAAAAGGGAAGGTCACTAAAAGTTCATTTTTAAAAAATCCCCAAAACTATTGTTCCTTTGGAACTCCTTTCCAAAGAAACGGAGAAAATATCAGACACCACTGACCTGTAGTCAGTCATTTCTCATGTTTAAAAAAAAACTCTTAAAAGAATAATCTATAAATATATTGAAGCTTGATCGAAGGTATGAGAAAGGGAACAGGCAAACTTTTACAGATATTGTATACAATAGGATATCACATTTTAATAGTAACAAAACTGATTGAAAGGTATTGAGAATAGAGGATCCGTCTGTGCTTATTATTTGTTCACTATAAAAAAAGCAGTTGATTCCATAGTGATTCTACACTTAAAGCAAATGGTTAGTTGATTTAGTAAATGCAGGTTATTTCTTGGGAGCTGGAATCCATGTCCAATCTTTCAATAACTCATGCATCTTGATTTCTTCCAATCTCAAAGAAGTAAACTGGCTTTAGAGTTAGATGACTCAGGTTGGGCATGAAAAAATGAAAGGTTATCCAGTAAGGGTTATAGGAAGAAGAGATGAATGGTGGTGATATTTGTTTAAGCAGCAATTTGTTAACCTAACAAGAACAATGGAAGGGTCCATTGTCTTACTGGGGCATGGATTTGATGGAAAACTCCCAAGACGCTGTCAAAACTGATGACTATCACTGATTTCCATTGATTCTTGGGGATGCAAGTGACAATGAAATTTAATAATGACAAATAGGAAGACTTACACTTAGGTTTAAACACTTTAATTTCACAAATCCCCGATGGGGGAAATGTGAATAGATAGTACTTTGTTCCCTAAAAAAGATCTGAAAGTTTGAATGGACCATAAATTCAATGAGTCAGTGGTGACAAGTTATCCAAGGAAATTAAGGCAACTTTCAACTTCAAAAGCACTTATTAAACACCGACTATGTGCCAGTTGCCCAGGTCACAAATACAAAAGTAGCCAAACCGTCTCTAATCTTATGGGCATTCTATCAGGAATTTGAAATCCAAATGAAATTCCCTGAATTTCTACCTGTTGAAGGTATAACTCAAATTCTGCGTTTTCTTTCAAGCCTTCCCTAATTCCCTTGCTTGATAATAAAGTCCCTCTACAGACTGCATATAACACTTTGTTTTCCAATTCTCTAATAGACATAGCATGAAATATTGTGTAGTAGGAGAGAACCAGGAAGACTTGGGTTCAAGTCCTACTTCTGATCATTGTCAGTGTGATCCTGGGGCAAATCATTTAATCTCTTGGTGCTCTAGGCAACACATTAAACCTGTCAATCTCATAGCAGAATGCTTGGCATAAGGAACTTTCTTACCAGAGACCCTAAACCAGAGAAATCACAGTTCCTGATCTCCTCTTATTGTATGTTAGAGCTTTCTTTGAGTCTTAACTCCCTCCTAGATAGAGTTCCTAGAGAAAAGCACCTGTATCTTATCTAAAATTCTTATCACCTCAGCATCTAGTACTAGATAAATATTTGTGCTTTTAAATAAGGGAGCACTTCACACCTCTTTTCTGAAGGTCGGAAATCAACCAATAACTCCCTTTAACCTACACCAAAACCATCCCTTTATAAGATAAGATATATAAATTCATCCAACTTTCCTTTTTTCCCATTTAAAAGCCAAAGAAAGCCCTATCACTTCTGCCCTCTTGCCCCTGGAACTCGAGCTGAAACCTCATTTGACGTATTCCTCCCCTTCCCAGCTCTTTTGTAGGGTTTCCAGTAAACATTTCTCACCTTCCCCCACCAAGGAAAAAACCAACCCCCACAAAAAAACCCCAACCCCCAACCCCCCCCCAAACCCGTCAACTCTCACCCAGCAAGCAATGTAATTGTCTACTCTACTGCTACTTCCTCCTCTTCCATTCTATCTTGTGCCTCCTTCATTTTCTAGGTCACCTGTTGCTTACCTGTTTTTTCTCACCTGTGCCAGCAAGTACTGATTTTTATTTAGTTTTCTTTCCTTGTCCTTAACCCCCTTCTACCTGTCTGTCTCATTGCTCCGTGGGAATTGTAGTTCTGTCCCTCAGGTGGCAACTACAGAAAGTGAAAGGAAAACTCAATCCTCTCCCATCCACCCCCCTCTAGCCTGGAGCCAAACCCTTCTCGATACCAAAGAAGTGGGAGGCTGTAAACTGGCTAGACAATGCTGAGTGATAACAGCATTCCCACTAAACGTTTCTTGTGCACTGTGCAAAAACTGGAGACAAAAAAAAAAAAAAGTCAATTAACTCACCCAGTACCTCCAAAGCTGCCTCTTATTTCTCTCCTTCCTTCCATCAACGTTTCCCACCTGTCCTTTTTTAGGGAGCGTGGGAAATAATCAACATAGGCATCAGATACTGAGATTTCTATGGGAAAGTTTTAAGTGACTGGGACAGCTTTGTGGAGTCAGAACTGTCTTGAAGGATTCATTGGGGAAGAGGAGTAGATGTCAGGGAAAAAAACAGAACTGAACACCTGAGTTGAACTGGCAAGGGGTTTATTTGTTTGTCTGGAGGAGAGGGTTGGTTCCCCACCCCCACCTCTGCAGGAAAACCTGGGAAAGGGAGAATTGAACAATTCTTGCTTCACTTCTAAATAACCACAAGAGGACAAGGTATCTAGGGGCCACTGGGAGCTCAGGATTTATCAATTCATCTTTGTGTCTGCTGGCTTCCGGGAGAGTGGATTTTTTTTTTAACTCATCTATAATCTGGATTGAATTCTGCTTTAGGCTCCACAAGAGTGTGAGGACTAGATTCACCTTTGCTGCAGGGGTAACATATAGGAGTCCAAACAGTACTATGGGTATGATGGGGTTACAGGACCAAGCTGAAACCTTTGTCCCAGTTTGCACCCCATTTGTCTATTGGCCCTAGAAAACCCTTGGACTGTCCTTGAATTCTGCCACTAGATTAAGGAGGTCTCTAACGTTCTCCTGAAGCCATAATTCGATCAATTGGCCTTTCATTGTGGCTATGCCCAATTTCCCAAATCTCAGTTACCCTAGACCTAGCCCAGCCCAGCCCTCCCTTGTCTTACCTCCCTATGGCCCCAGGCCATTTCCCACCTTTAATCCTAGGAGGCTTCATTCTCCCTAGGCCATGTGGTTCAGGTCCCTGGAGTTCTATTACCTCATAGAACATAGACCGTATATTTGGCTACTCCTAGATCCCTCCTATAGTCTTTCTGTATATAAGGTCCCTCTTGTCTCCATTAAGATGCTCACATTCCTTAAGAGTCTGGCTAATATGGCAGATCTTTAATAAACCTTGACTTTGGCTGAAAAAAGGCTTGGGTCAAATTCTTTTGGTAGGACCTGCGTGTTGGGATCTTGGGGTCCCAGCACCCCTAAATCTCTAGACCTCATCAGGTGCAACCCACTAAGCAAGCTGACTATGTGAAAGAGAGGTTCTGTGGTCTAATAAATGGAAGGTTGGTTTTGGAGTCAGCAAGACCTGGTTTCAAGGTCTGCCTCTAACACATAGTAACCCTATTACTATATAACAAATCACATCTCAGTATCCCCAGGTTCTCCAAGAGTGAAGTTGCTGATCTGTATTGGTGGAGGAAATTTCTACATCAGAGAGATCTCTGAGCTGATGAAATCTCAGGCCTGGGGGGGGGGGAAGAGGTGGTTTTTTAACTAGCTCAGAGGTGCTACTGATTTGAGATTTTGTATGTTTTATATGTTTATGTGGCGGGGGAGAGGGAGGCCACCAAAAGCAATGTGGCAATGTAGGCTGGAGCCTTTCATCTACTCCTCAAATAAACTGTAGTTCAAATGTAGGACTATTTAAGGAGGGAACCTGGGATGGAGAAAAGATATTAAAATTTTCATTGTGCTGGGCTTCCATTATCCTTTAACAAACTTTTTCTGGCATTGTCTCACTTGTTCTTCCCAAATGTAAGGCAGGAAGGGCAAGAATTATTGCCTTCATTTTGCTGTTGGATAAATTGAGGCTCATTGACTTCCCTCAATTTACATGGTTAGTAAATTGCTGAGCTAGGACTAGAACTCAGTTCTTTGGACTTTTAAGAAAGTTTTCTTTCTAGTATAACTTGCCTCTTGATAATTATATTTATCCTTCCTTGGAGGGTGAAAATTCCTTTCAGGACACAGCCTGGATCTACACACGTCGTACCCCCTTTTCCTCTCAATTCCTTAGGTCCCTGAAATTGTGAAAAGCACTTGGGAGTCATTGTCAGGGATATTTTGGAGTTTATACTTCTGTAGGATAAAGGATAAAGGCTTAGAGGTTAAAACCTATGCTCATTTTATTTTTTGGTTATTACATTTATTTTTAATTTTAAAAATATAGTCATGTATTTAACAATTTCATGCATTAGCCACGTCCAAAAAAAAAAGGCAAAGAAAAAGAAAACATACTTCAATCTGTATTCTGAATGCATCTGCTTTCTATCCGGAGGTAGATAGTATGCTTCATAAGTTCTTTGGAACTGCGAAAAACTCATGCGTTTAAAATAGTAACTTCACGTTTCCCCAAGTTGGAAGAGTTACAGGAAATCAGTATAGGGAGAGGGAAAGGTGAGAATGTTATTCTATTAGGCTGCTTTAAATTTGGGCACTATCTCATGAGAATCATTGTATCATAGATTGTTAGACCAGGACGGGGTTTTAGAGATGATCTAGTCCCACCCTCTTTTCATTTTGTTTTTGCTGTGCTACACTGGGAGATGGTTCTGGCTGTCAATGGAACATCTGTGGGAAGACTGATGGTCTTGGAGTAAGAAGCTGTGTTGCCCCAGCTCTTGGGCAAGTCTTAACTTCGTGGTCCTCAGTTCCCTTACCCGTAAAATGGGCTTAATGAGGATTGTATTACCCACCTCACTGGTGTATAAATATGGGATATTATTATAACTATGACTCAGGAAAGGAGGGCAGTCTTTCTCCCTTAAGAGCTATTTACATTTTAACTTAACGTTTTAGTGGGCAAATCTTTCTGCCATTGTCTAGGACTTAATTTGAAAAAAAAAAACTAGTGAGAGATGTAGGTGTAGATCACCTAAAGAGGTGGTTGCAATGCTTAAATGAAGTGGAGGGAGGGAGAATAACTTCAACAAAGCCACTTGCTTTAGGAGAGTGTAGGACAATAAATAATGAAAGGACAGCATATTCATTTTTTAAGATGAGCCTAGCAAGCATGAACAGAAAAGATTATACATGAGACAGATTTTTTTAATGCACAATTTGTACATTAATTTTTTAAAACAAAGACAACTAGGGGAGGGGAGGAAGGGGAAAGCTTTTTTCCTATTTAATTATTCATGAACAAAAATTCCTTCCAGACAAGATCAACAAAGCGCTGTTACCATAGGGACACATCTCTCTCCTAAGCTGTGAATAGTATTCAGTTTTGCAAGACTTTGCTGCGTTTTCTCAGTTGGCATTTCTTTTCCATTTTACAGGCAAATAATAGTTTGTTCTTTAAAGGTCTTCATTCTTTGGGTAATACTGCCTTACAACCATGACATTCTTTCCCTCCCCCAACACCCACACTCTCAGGTGAACCCATTGTGTGTGTGTGTGTGTGTGTGTGTGTGTGTGTGTGTGTGTGTGTGTGTGTGTGTGTGTGTGGCAACTGGGGTTAAGTGACTTGCCCAGTCACACAGCTAATGAGTGTTATATGTCTGAGGCCAAATCTGAACTCAGGTCCTCCTGACTCCTGAGCCGGTGCTCGATCCACTGAGACATCTAGCTGCCCGGGGGTGTACCCATTCTGAAATTACTTTCTTGGTTTGTGGATTGTTTTTGCCAGGCACTACTTTGCTACCTGAAATAGAATTAAAGGATGTATAGCTGGAAGAGAAGAGATTCCAGTCCCCTAATTTTAGAAATGTGGAATAACTTCTTGGAAGACACACAGTAAGTGCTCAGTCAGTATGACTGTGGGCAAGTCATTTCCCTCCCCAGGACTCATTTTCCTTGTCTATAAGCTAGCTTCTAGTTCTAAAAATTCTGCAAGCCATGCCCCCAATGTCATTAAATTGAACCAGTAATACCTTTTACTAGGTCTATATCCCAAAGAAAGAGGAAAAGAGCCTAATTGTACAAAAATATTTATAGCATCTTTTTTTTTGTAGTAGCAAAGAATAGAAAACTAAAGGGGTTACCATTAATTAAGAAAAGGCTGATGGCCAATTATGGCATATGAATGTATTGCTGCATAGATTCAGAGAAACCTGGGAAGACTTGTAGGAACATCTGCAGAGTGAAGCGAACAGAACCAGAAAATTATACAAATAACAACAGCAAAGTAAAAGCAACTTTGGAAGAGTTAAGAACACAGATCAAGTCAATGACCAATCACTATTGATGACGAACTACTCCGTGTACCCCATGAAAGAGAGAGTTGGATTCCACATACAGAATGACACATACATTTTTGATATGGACAGTGTGAAAATTTGTTTTGCTAAGTGGCATTACTGGCCTGGAGGAAGGAAGATCTAAATATAATTCTAGCCTCTGGTACTTATTAGCTGTGTGACACTGGCTAAGTCACCTAAATCTCTGTTTGCCTCAGTTTCCTCATCTGTAAAATAAGGGTAATACTACCACCCAATTCTCAGGTTTCTTGTGAGGATCGAGTGATATTATATTTGTAAAGAACTTTGCAAACATTAAGGTTCTATATATAAATGCTAGCTTAAAAAAATGAGACATAACATCTCTGGGCATGAGTAATGTGAGGATTTGTCCTGCTTTGACTGTGCATAATTTGTTATAAGGGTTTTGTTTTCTTTTAAATTGATATGGTTGTGGGAAGGAGAAAAAGTTCGTTGAAAACATTTTTTTTAAAAGAAAAAAGGGGCAGCTAGGTGGTGTAGTGGATAGAGTTCTGGCCTTGGAGTCAGGAGAAGCTGAGTTTAAATTCGGCTCAGACACTTGATACTTACTAGCTGTGTGACCCTGGGCAAGTCACTGAACCCTGACTGCCTCACCAAAAAAAAAAAAAGAAAGAAAGAAAGAAAAAAATCCCATGTCTTTGAGATGCAGGCGCGACAGATATGGGCAGGACTACAACTCCCAGAATGCATCACGGAAGCCCAGCCGAGAGCCTGGGGCTCCTGGCCCGGCCCACCAGACACGTGACCGTCCGGAAACGCTGGGCTGGCAGCTGATGGCTGAGGTGAGGTGAGGTGGCGGAGCCGAGCGCGGGGCGGCGCGGCGGAGCGATGTGGGGGCAGCAGCGGCGGCGGCAGCCGCAGGACCAGCTGTTAGCGATGTGTGTTGGGTAAGAGGGCCGGAGCGGCTGGCGGTGGTTGGGCGCGGCTCGGCGGCGCGGGGGGAGGGATGCAGCCCGGCTGCACCTCGAAAACGAGGGGATGCCCTGAGAACGACGGAGGGGCTGGCGGCCCCCCGCGATGAGCTCGCGCCCCCTTCTCCACCCACGGGCCCTCGAGCCCCTTCCGTGGGGGGGGGCGCAGTCCATTCTGGGCTGAGCCTTCTCCGCGGGCATCGTTGGCCGGGCCGAGCCAGGGGAAGGGGGCTGACGGGGCGAGGGGCTGGTAGAATAGGGGTGGGCCCGAGGGCTGGCAGGGTGGGGTCGAGAAAGGCGCAATGGCAGCGAGGTGGGGGGAGCGGGGGCGGGGGGCTCGCGCGGGGTCTAGGAGGATGGGAGGCTGGCAGAATAGGGGTGGGCCCGAGGGCTGGCAGGGTGAGGGTGGGGACGAGAAAAAACGCGGTGGCAGCGAGATGGGGGGAGCTGGGGTGGGGGCCAGGGGTTGGGCTGGCAGGATGGAGACAAAAAAGATTGCGGCGTCAAGGATGGTGGGCGGGGTGGGGGGAGATTGGGGGGTCGGAATGGTGGGCGGGGGCGTCTAGATATGGGCCAGAAAGACTACTGCAGACTCCGACTGTGGGCAGGGTTGCATCCCGGCAGTTGCCCCAAGTAACATACCTTCCCTGACCCTGGCTAAGTGAAGACTTAAAAACAAAAGGAGGAGGCTTCTTTCTTCCCCTCCCCATCCCTTAAACCCCACCCTGAGTCAGCTTAGGTTTGGTACTGAGTCCCTAATTTAGTGAAAGGAAGGGGAAGGGTTTTAGAAGGTGGTGATGCCCTTTTGGGTGGGATGGGAAGGTTTCAAGAGTGGTGGGATGCTTTTTGGTGGTAAGATACAAAAATTACAATGATGAGGAATAAAGGTGTATTCTGAAGAGATAGCTAGGCTGTGCCTTCCCTTGGAGTCAAGTAGACCTGAGTTCAAAAGGTGCCTCAGATGCTTTACTACCTACTTGGCCATGGGCAAATGAGTTACCCTCTGTCTGCTTTACTTTTCTCATTGTAAAATGGAGATAACAGTAGCAACCACCTCCCAGGGTTGTGGTGAGGATAAAAATGAGGTAACATATGTTCAGTCTTTGCAAATCTTGAAGCATTGTATGCATGTTAGCTTAGAAACGATTTTTCCTCATTACCCTGTGAGGTCATTAAGAAACATGTGATATAGTGGAAAAGTGCCCAGTTTCAGAGTCTAATCCTAGCTCTGCTACTTAGTAGAATGTTTGGTAGTTTAGAAGAGAACTTGGTCCTTCCATGTGATCTTAAAATCACAAGTCAAAATCACAATCTCAAAGGCTCTGGCCTCTGATTCCTTATCCATAAAATGGACTTGGATTAGATGACCTCCAAGATCCTTTCCAACTCTATACCTACGAGAATATGTGATGGGTAGTTCAAGAATTATTATACCCATTTTACAAATAAGAAAACCTATGCTTACAGTGGTTAGGAGACCTAATCATGGTTATATGCCTCCTAAGTGACCGACTAGAGCTAGGATTTGAGCTCAGGTCTTTTGACTCCAGGTACTAATATTCTGAATTGAGAAGAGGGACTGGAGCTAGGCTGAGAAGACCCGGAGTTCAGGTTAGACTTAGATCTCTAAGTGGTCATTTTGAAATCACAGGATCCCAACCCTGATCTTGGCCTTCTGCTGTAGGACCTGCCATCCTACCATACCTACATCCACACACATTTATATGACTTTAAGGGGTTCTTAAATCTTTTAGGGCGTGACTCTTTCCTGTATCTCTTACATTTTTTTTTGAGAAAAGATAATACAGAAAATTAACAGCTCAGACATTAATTTCACTGCAGACCAAAGGTTTACATAGTTTTGTATCTGTTAGGATCTATTTTTGTTCATTATTTATAAAGGTTCTAGTTTGTATGTGTGTATACCTGTATATGTGTGCACACACGCACACATATGCACACATATACGCTCTCTGTGACTTAGAGTTTAGAAAATGTCCACCTTAAGAGTTTTGGCATACATTTAAACCAAATTGGGAGGAACAATTTAGTATCTAGAACTCCAAGTTGGATGGAAGAATTTGTAATTGATAAACTCCACATCTTTCATACATAATAAGAAGTTTGATTCAGGTAGAGTTACTCGTTTGAAAAAAGGCAAATTTGTACTTCTAAATTTTAATTCTCTTATATCTCTACCATAGCATTTTTTCCCGCCACTCACAAACCAACATCCTAGACTAGATCTTCAGTAGCTTTCTTATTGTTCTCTCTTCCTTTATTCTCTCCCCTCTCAAATTTATCATTCACACTGCTGACAGACTTATTACCAAAGCAGAGGTCTGACCATGTCACCCTCTTGCTAAGGAAACTCCGGTGGCTAGTTCTTACCTCCAGGATAAAATAAAAAATTCCAGTTGGTTTTTAAAAACCCAATCTGGCTTTCCTTTCTGGCTTTACAATCTGGCTCACAATCTACCTTTCCAGGCTCATTTCAAGAACTTGTTCTTTGTGTACTTTACATTCCAGTCAGACTGGCCTACTTCATCTTCCTGGTTTGATTCTGTTCTGTGCCTTGGCTCAAGGCACTCTCTCATCCCTGGAAAGCAGCTCCTCCGCACTGCTACCTCTTAAAGGTAGTGGATAGAGTGCTGAGCCTAGAGTTAGGAAGATTTGAATTCATATTCAGCCTCACTTGCTAGCTGAGTGACCTTAGGCAAATCGCTTAACCTCTTTGCCTCAGTTTCCTCATCTGTAAAGTATCAGCATCTCTTGAATATACCCCCTTTCTCTCCTCTGACACTGTCACTACTCTAGTGCAGGCCCTCATCACTTCATGCTTGAATTAACTTCAGTGACCAGCTGGTGGATTTGCCTACCTCAAATCTTTTCTTCCTCCAATCCATTTTCCATTCAACCAGTAATTTTTCTTAAATGAAAGTCTGATCATGTTACACACCCCCTCTCAACTTAAACTCTAGTGGCTTCCTGTTATCTCTAGAAACAAATACATACTTTTCTGTTTGACATTCAAAGCCCTTCATAACCTATCCCTCTCTTACCTTTCAAGTCTTCTTACTCCCTGACACGTATTTTTCTGTCCAGTGACATTGACCTCCTGGCTATTCCACAAACAAGACAATCCATCTCTCAGCATTTTCTCTATCTGCCTGGAATGTTCTCCCTCCTCAATTCCACCTGCTGATTTCCCTGGCTTCCTGTCAGTCCAAACAAAAATTCCACCTACTACAGGAAGCCTTTTACTAACCTCTCTCGTTTATTTCCTGTTTATCCTGTATATAGATTATTTTGTATATATTTGTTTGCGTGTTGTCTCCCCCATTAGATTGTTAGCTTCTTGAAGGCAGGGATTTGTCTTTTGCTTCTTTGTATCCCCAGTGCCAAGCTCTGTGCCTGGCATATATGGTAGGTGCTTAATAAATGTTTCTTGAATTGAATCAAGAATAATAGCATATAGTATATTATGTATATATAAATACATATATATACACACACACATAAAATATAGTATATAATAATCCTCCTTGTGAGGATCAAATGAGGTAATATTTGTAAAGTGCTTAACACAGTGCCTGGCACATTACAGTTGCTATATAAATGCTGGTTGTTATTATCACAGAATCCCTAGCTTTCTTCAAATCTCATTTCATTTGCCACATCCTAGAGGAAACTACTCCAAATTCTCCCTTCTTCTGGTAATTATTTTATGGCTACTTTTCTTTGTATGTAAGCTCCTTGAGGGCAGAAGCTTTCATATTTTTGTCTTTGTATACCCAGAGCTCTGTACCAGTCGCTGACTTGTAGTAGGGGCTTAATAAATGCCTCTTGGCATTGGAATGAGATAAAAATAATGTATACTCATCGGTATCCCAAGGAGATAGTGTTTGGATTATCCTATTGATTTACATGTAAAATATTAAAAATAAATGAGCTGTACTGTCACATTCGCCCAGTTCCCAAAATCACATAGAAGGGAACTCAGAATTCTGTTAGTTTAACCCAAAGTAAAAATTCCTTCTTCAACAACTCCTCCAGTAGTCAAGGATTTGTTTGTAAAATTTGGATTCAGTCAGAAGGCTGCACTTGAGGATCTAGAAGGCCACATGTGGCCTCAGGGCCACAGGTTCCCCACCCCTGCTCTAGGACAAACCATTTCACATTTGGATGGTTCTTATTGTTGAAGTGTTTTCTTACATTGAGCCAATGTTGTCTCTGAAACTTTTTTTACCCACTTTTCTTATTTCTTTTCTTTGGGGGTAATCCCTTTTCCACTTGACAGTTCTTCAGATACTTGAAGACAGCCCTTTCTTTCTCTCCCCCCCCCAACCCGCTGCCCCTACACCCCCCCTGCCCCTGAATCTCTTTTCCTCTATTTAAGGCTACCCATCCTCTAGCCATCAGTGGATCTTTTGTATGATATGGCTTGATATGACTTCCTGTTCTGTCTTAACCATTCTTAGTGCCCTCCTGGAAGAGTTGGAGCTTGTTATTACCCTTCCTGGGAGCAGCCAGGTGACTCAGTGGATGGACCTAGAGTCAGGAAGATGAGTGCAAATCCAGTTTCAGACATTTATTACTTGTGACCTTGGGCAACCACTGGAAAAGGAAATGGCAAAGCACTGCAGAAAACTTCAATGTCCCATGGATAATGTGGTCCATGGGGTCATGAAGAGTTAGGCACTACTACACATCAATACCCTTCCTAAAAATGTATTCCTGAAGCAGATGTAGTCTGAGGAGGGCAGAATGTAGTAGGACTTTCTCCTTTTAAAAAGGGTACCTTTATTTGTGCTGCCTGATTACATTTGCTTTTGAGTCTTCCGTGTGACTCTGAGCCTGCAGATGACTTCCCTCATTTTCACAAAGGCTCTTGTCTAGCCATGTCTTCCTGATCCAATGTTTATAGTTAATGGTTTGAACCCAAGTGTAGAATTTTACATTTCTCTCTATGAAGTGTAATCTTTTTAGATTGAACCATTTTCTACTTTGTAGAAATAATACTTGACAATTATGTATTGTGTTATTCTCATTTAATCATCGCTATATTACATTTACTATGTATATTAATATTTCCATTATACAAATGAATAAACTTCAGATATGCTAAGTGAAGCAAGATTCAAATCCAGGTTTTTTTTTTTAACTTCTCCTATGTTGTTTAGTAGTTTCCAACTCTTGGTGATCACATTTGTAACAACATACGTAAATCACTTTAGCACTCGAGAAAAGTGAGTTATTGTTGAGTTATTTCAGTCGGGTCTGATGCTTCAGGACCCCTTTTGGGGTTTTTTTGGCACAGATACAGGACTGCTTTGACATTTCCTTCTCCAGCCCATTTTACAGATAAGGAAATTGAGGCAAGCAGGGTTAAGTGACTTGCCCAGGGTCATAAAGCTCTTAAGTGTGTGAGGCTAGATTTTAACTCAGGACTCCAGGCCTGGTGCTCTGTCCACCCAGGTGAGCCACCTAGCTGCCCAACTCCTGTCCTGTACCACACTGCTCTAGTGATCTTTTAAAATTCTGACTCTGTTGTCCAATATATTACTTTTCCCTCTGAGCTTTCTCCTTGCATATTTAATAAGCATCCCATCTATATCTTCAAATTATTGATGAAAAACTTTCAATAATACAGGGACGGGCCAATCCTTGGGTTCCTCTGCTAAGGATCTCCCTCCTAATTGACATCAATTATGTTTTTTAGGTTCAGTCTTCCAACCACTTCTGAATCCACCAAGCTTTTATCATCTAGCCCCTATCTATCTTGTCTACTAAGTTAACATGAAAGATCTTGTCAAATGCCTTGCTGAAATTGAAGTTTACTGTATCCACAGCATTCTTTTGATCTACCTATTTAGTAACTGTCAAACAAGGAAATGAAAAGAGTCAGGTATGACCAGATTGAAACTGTTGGCTCTTAGTGATCACTTCTTCCCTTTTTCATGTTTATAAACCATCCCTTTAATGGTATTTTTTTTAGAATTTTGCCGGGTCTCAAAAATTAAGCTCATTGGCCTATAGTTTCAAGAATCCATCTTTCTTTCTTTTCCCACCTTGAAGATCAGAACAGCATTTATTCAGTTCTAGTCCTTTGGCACCTCTCCCACGCTCCCAAACTTATAATATCTTCCCATCAAAATATTTCTAAAAATGAGGCCCTAAATGAGTTTATAGCCTTTAAGGCTTTTATGTATTTACTTGTTCACCTATAATCAGGTAAAAACAAGTAAGATAGAAGTTGTGACTGCAAACTTGGAAGATGCTTGTTATTCTTTGGTCTGGGAATTCTCTTTTATCTTTTATAGTATATTTGACAGTATCAATATTTTGCTAATTTTTTCATTAGCTAAATAAGAAATGACTAATATGATTTTGTTAGGATTATATAAACATGATATAAGCCTAAGTAAATTTATATGTCTTCATACATTTTTGGATGATTTGTTAAAATATCCTTTATGAATTGCATTCTAATAATTTTTTTGTCTTGCCAGACAGGAAAGATGATCTAAATCCTGCACCTTCTAAGCATTAAGATCAAGGTTGAGGTGAAAGGACAGGAAGAAAGCATGGCTGGGCCGGGTGCTTTTCAAGGTGGGACTTGGATATCCAGATTTACTCATCATCATGTTGTTGTGTTCCTGCTCACCTTCTTCAGGTAGGTGTATTGTTGAAATTCGTTCTCCTAATTCACTTTTGGTTCATCCCCAGTCTTTGAATTATTGTTCCTATGCACATAACTGCCAAATCTGTACTTCTAGGCTTGACCTCTTTTCCAAATTCCAAACCACGACTCTGGCTGAATATAGGATATGTATCTACCTGAATATTTCATTGCTACATCAAATTTAATATTTTGAGCTGTTTGTTTTCCCACTAGATCTCTTATTTCAAACTTAGGTGCTTTTCTTCATTGTTGCCATTAGTTCCTTATTCTCCCACATTCCAAACCTTAATCTAATCTTTACTGCTTTCCTCTCCTTCACCTCTAATATAGTTATCAAATCCTATTTATTCTACCTTCCAATGACCTGTGTCCTCACCCATTAGTTTACATTAACCTTTTATAGGTTTTTATTATGACTTGCTTATATTATTGCAATAGCTCCATAACAAACCTTTCTGTGTCTGTTCTCCCCCCCCCCCTTTTTTTCCCTCCATTTTGGTGAGGTAATCGGGGTTAAGTGATTTGCCCAGGGTCACATAGCTAGTAAGTGTCAAGTGTCTGAGGCCACATTTGAACCCAGGTCATCCTGAATCCAAGGCCAGAACTCTATCCACTTTGCCAAACAGCTGTCCCTCCCCTTTTTCCTCTGCATTCTCTCCTTATCTTTCACCCAGCTGCCAGACTTATCTTCATTTTGCATAGATCAATGCTTCTTAAACTGTGGGTCAAAACTGAACTCATAACAACCAAAAATTAATTCAGAATCAAACAGGAAATGAATCTGAGGTGTTTCTGGCAACACTTGCCCATGTTGCATCCTGCAACTTCCCTGTAGCCTTTAGTTTGAACACAAAGCATGCACACTGACATGCACATGCCTTCAGGCCACACAGCCAACTAATGCTACCAGAAAGGGGTTACTGGTGGAAGAAGTTTAAAAAGCCCTGGCTTAGATCAGTTCATTGTCATAGCTCTCTTCAAACTTCTCAGTGGCATCCTATTGCTTAGTTTAACGTTAATGTTCCTACAGACCCCATGCTCTTCCATCTCTTTGGCTTTATCTCATACTTCTGCCTTCCGCATATCATACTCAATTAGTACAGCGTACTCAATCCTGTACATCAAAAATGTCAAACTCCTGGCCCACAAAACTCCCAAGTCCCTGAACCAGATTAAAATGTAATTGAGAAACAGTTAACAAAATAAATAAAAATGTAACCCAACGTAATGTTATTTTGTGGTTTTCTAGGTCAATATGCAGCAGTAGGGACCTGAATCTATTTGAGTTTAACACCACTGCTGTACACATCCTTTGTTTTCCTACTTCTGTTCCTTTAATGCTGTTTCTTCTCTTTGGAATGTAAACCCTCACCTCACCAGTGAATTTCCTCCCTACACACAGTATTTCTGTTAACATTAATTTGTATCATAGTTACTCTGTCCCCTTATTGGTTCATAAATTCCGTGAAGGTAAGATTATTTAAACTCTGTATCTACCAGTATAGGGCTTGTACACAGTAGGTGTGCCTAAAGGTATTCAGTTGAATTAAATTGATCTGCCTAGTGCAGTGACTGCCAAGGCTTGGAATCTGAGAGCTGCTTCTGCTTGCTTATGAGAATCAGGTGCTTAGGAATAGGGTTCTCGGATAGTGGAAACTGGAAGAGCTCATTTCTTTAATTCTTGTTTCTAGGGTTCTGGTAGCTAATGTAAGGATTCGTCTGAAGATAATGCTTTGATGCTTACCAGTGAGAAGTCTCTAAGAGGGCGAGTGACTGTAACTGAGACACCTGTGTTAGCATTGTGTAGCCCTAAAGGCTTATGCCTCACATAACACCCTGTTCCATGTCTTTGTACTGCCTGACCCTATACCTAGAATCTTTTTCTTTAAGATGCATTTCAGGCACCATCTTGTTCTTGAAGACTTTTCTTACACTTCTTCCTTGTCCCCCCCCCCCAATTGCTAGTGCCCTCCTTCCTAAACTACCTTTTATTTACTTTTCTTATTTTTCTGTTTATGCTGTTGATCTTTGTAGATTTTGTATGCATCTTTTTCCTTGCAAATAGAGGTTTTTCAATTCTTTACACTTACTTCCCTAGGGCCTGGCACATAGTAGGCATTTAATAAATAATTGTTGACTAAAGTAGTAGTGTCAGGGGCATGTTGGCTGAATGCCAGTAATTCAGCCACTTTGGTAACTACTTCTAAAGACTAGAAGTCATAATTTTTATTTGCCTGCGTTAGCAACAAATGTTCCAAGAAGCTATTAGTAAATCAGAAAAAACTTGTCCATGGCCTGGGCCTGGTGTTCCATTTTATTCCCTAACCTGAAAGGCAAGCCCCTCCTCCAGTTCTCCATTGGCTGGGTACTACAGAGCTTACAGCCTATCTGCGGCATGTAGTTTCCCCACATGAGGCTCTGCCCCTAATCACGTCTCCCACTCCCCACATTTCCTTGTTAGCAGCCTACAGCTGTCAATACCCCAGCATCTACTTATCACCCTGATGAATGATATGATATGCAGAAGCAACATTCCCAACCACATTTTCTACAATTCCCCCCTTTTTCTTTTATTTACTCTTGTGCCTGCATCTTAATTCATTATAAGACTCAAATTTTGATAAATTTATTTCCATTTCCTTGTCATAATCAGGGTTTACCTCACTTTCTTCGTCTAGTCAAGAGATTGCCATTCACTTCCACTTGCCAAACTGATTCTAACCATGCCATTCTATCTGGGGCTGTGTTATTGGGCAACATTTCATCAAGGGTTTTTGGGGACTTGGTGAGGAGGGAGAAAATCAAGGCATTGACAGACTCAGAGGGAAAAAGTAACAAATAGTCCATTTAAGGCCTCTCAGGCAGCTGTCTGGTTGGCGTTCTGGACATCATCCAATGAAGTTTTCTGGTCTTAAGTGCTGTTCAAGTAGTGTCCAGCAGACTGTCTTCTTGTAGAGATCCTTTTTCTTGTATCCACTCTCATACAAAATTGCTCTTAACACAATTTTAAATTACCTTGCCCAAATGTCTCTGTAAGATCAAAATTGGAACCTTAGCCAATTGTCATGTTTAAGACTTCATATTTCCCATCAAGAAGATGATATTCCACTAAGCAAGTAACAGACTCCAGTATACACATAAAACAATTCCAACTTCTGATCATGTACAAATAAATAACTCTTAATTGAAATGGATGCTGCTTTTAAGTCATTTACAAGATAGAGCACAAGCCATTCTTCTTTTAACATTAATTATAGCAAACTCAGACAGGTAAGATTAATTAAGTAACAGAATGATTATCCCCATACCATTATGAGGAATTAAATTTACCTTAACTGAAATAAGGGAACAATGCTTTCCTAACTTTGTGTCAATCCCAGGCAGAAGTTATGTAATAGCCAACTGCGTTGAGCAAGGCTTAAAGTCTGCCAGGTGTCATAGTGGGGAAATTAAGTCAGAATAATCCTATCTGAGAACACCCTCTGCAGTTCATAGATGCAGCTCAGTTAAGCAAATAATTTTAGTTGAAACTTTTATTTAAATATAGACAAAACTTGGAAGTTTATGATTTCTTAATTATATTACTTCAAAATGTTACAACACATGGTCAGATAGAATAACCTAACAGCTTCTTAATGATGCTGAGACATGCAGTACCCTAAGGGTTAAGAGAATACTAAAATTGCTTTTCCAGTATTTTGAAAACACAACTTGCTCTTAATCCTTCCTTGACCTGTCTCTAATCTTTAACCCCCATAAAAACTTCTAAAACTACATCATCCTTTTGAAAGTTCTGTATAAGGATAAGTCCCCCAAATATCAGGGTCTTTTTTAGCTTTCTAGCTAATGAGACCAGTGAAACTTTCATGAAATAAAGCTCCCATTGGTTAAGAGAAAATCGTCTAAGTGAATTTTTTCACACCTGAATCAACTCTCCCAACTCTCACCTTAACATTAACCCATTCATTGTTCTTTCCCTGAATCTATAAACTTAAAAATCAAATCTGGCAATGATAAACATTTAGAAATTTTAAAAATCCAATATTTTTGCCCCTTTAAAAGGAAATATTCTCCACAAATTCATATATTAAGACACATGGTGACAAATTCTTGAGAGTTGAAAAGTATGTTTTGAGGCTTATCAGATTAAAAACTACACTAAGCATTTCATCCTGGAAGTTTCAGGCTGACGCATAGAAGTTTTACAAACAGCATAAGGTCACCTGTAATCACTCTGGTTGGCTAAGATTTTGACTCAGACCACCTGAGGAATTTGAATCACTTACTGATAGGGTGTAGTCAGTTTCCCCCAGGTAGAAACCCTCTTGAGTTCCAATAATTAATTTCCTATTGAAATCTGGAGGGAACACCTAACAATTTGCAAATCAAGAGAGCTGTGTTTTCTCCATACCCTTCACTAACAGCTTTGAGATCTAATTAAATCTGAATTTAAACCCTTACCTTTTCACTCTCAGCCCTTCCTATCTTGGGCTGTATGCTCTAGATCCTTATCAGTAAAGGCTGTTCGCTTCACCTCCCTCTAACTTCTGAAAGTGGTTCCTGCTTTTTTCATTCTGTTACTCATTATCTAACTTTTCTGGCATCCCACCTTGGCCAGTGCTGGGACCCAAAATCTCCCACTGGAAAGCCTAAGGTGGAAGCTCTTTCCCCAGTGTTCTCTCTCTAATTACAGACCTTCATTTTAAATCTTTTCATCACAAACATGAAACATTTTACAAACACAGAGACAGAAACAGCTGGACAAGAAGAAGTGCGCACAAATCTGATTTCTGGTTGGCTTTTTAAGCTATCTTCAGCTAACTGATACCAGCACCAATCTTTCTTCTTATCTTTCTGTCTTACGTCTTCCCAGTATCTCCACATCCTCCCTAAGGGACTATCTGCAGGAATGTCCATAGGGGTCTCCTCATTTCCCCTGGTTTCTCTGGGGCCTTTGCTTGTTCCCCATCTTAGTTATTTGAGACCTACTTGGTCTCTAGACTCCACCAAGGTAGTACTTAATAGTCCTTTCTGCTTTCTTTGGTCCCAACCATCAAGGCAATACTTAATAGTCTTTGTTTTTCTTTTTGGTGAGGCAGTCAGGGTGAAGTGACTTGCCCAGGGTCATGCAGCTAGTAGGTGTTAAGTGTCTGAGGCTGGATTTGAAATCAGGTCCTCCTGACTCCCAAGGCAGGAGCTCTGTTAACTGTGTCACCTAGCTGCCCCCAGTAGTCCTATTTTCTTACCATGGTCTCTGTGCACAAGAGTTGCCTGGTTGCTGAGTGCCTACTTTCCCTTTCCCCTTTTTGTTCCTGGTTCAGCAATGGCCTCGCTCATTAACTTGGTCCTAGGATCTTGAACAGTCCACGAGCTGAGATTCCACAGAGCATACACAGACTGTTAAAATCAACAGGACATGTCTTCCCATCCTTCCATGGCAGTCATTTTTACTCAGGATGTTTGGATCTGAGACATTCTACAAAGCTATTGGTGAACCAGAAAAACCTTTTTATTAACGGCCTAGTAAGTCCAGGTGTCCCATGTGTGGGCACACCCTTGAGGCATGAAAATACAGCTTTTTTCTTTTTTTTCTTTTATATGTTTTATGATGTCAGAGCTCTGGCTCATTTTCTCTTTTTGTTTTTTATTATCTATGTTGAAGCCATTTTTTTCTTTTTTTGTGTTTCTATTTGTGAGTTTCTTTTTTTATTTTATTTTTTATTTATTTTTATTTTTAGGCAGTTGGGGTTAAGTGACTTGCCCAGGGTCACACAGCTAGTAAGTGTCAAGTGTTTAGTCTGAGGGCACATTTGAACTCAGGTCCTCCTGACTTCAGGGCCGGTGCTCTATCCACTGCGCCACCTAGCTGCTCTGAAAATACAGCTTTTTATTTCCTGTCCTCGAAAGGCAAGTCCCTCCTCTGATTCCCCATTGGCTAGGTACTACAGAGGTTACAGCCTATCCGAAGCACCTAATTTCCCCATGTGAGTCTCTGCCCCTAATTAAATCTCCCATTTCCCACATTTCCTTGTCAACAGCCTACTGTTAGTACTCCAGCAGCTGCTTATCACCCTGTGAATGGTAAGCAAAAGAAGCAACATTCCTAACCACGTTTTCCACACCTGAAATTGAGTTTAAGTAATCCCATTTTATTAAATGCAAGATTAAGGAGATGATATTGGAAGGTATTAGTTTAAAACTAGAGTCAGTTTTGAGCTACGTGTGTCGATATGGGCTAATGATGAATGATAAACAGTAGACTATTTGCCATGTTGTTTAGCAGAGGAATTGCTCCTGCTGCCAACCTTGTTCTAAGGCAAAACCATTTCTCCCCCATAGAGAGAAAAACCTTACACGAAAGCTTTAGAGTAAAATGGAACCAGGTGGGCATATTTACATGATTTTATTGCTGGCTATTTCCTTTATCCCTGTTTATTTGCCTCTGTTTTCTTTATTCTGTAGTTATTCACTTCTTCATGCTTCAAGAAAAACCTTTAGCAATGTGAAAGTCAGCATTTCTAGCCAGTGGACTCCAACATATTTAAACAAAACTGCTGTGAAACTGGAGCCTGTAGAGGTAAGGAGTATTGTATGCCAGAGTGGGCTACATCTATGTCCCTTTTTCTTAAATGTTGCTTATATAATATTTCCATGTTCAGAACTCTTACCTGACTTTTGTCTGTCACAAACTCCTCTGTCTGATTTTCAGGATTCTTAATCTGGTCCCACCCTAACAAACAGATTAATTTCAGTGTTCTAAAAAATGCCTACTTGGCTTTAGCCAGATTGTTCCATACGCATTATGCTTATTTATTCCTTTGAGCACATGTCCCTATCATTCTCCTCTCCTGGACTGTATCTTCTTCTGTATCTGTGCAGTTTCTGCCTGTTCTTTGAGGAGGATCAAGCAACTTCTGCCTCTACCATGAAGTCTTTTCCTGATCATGCTTAACTTTTTTTTTGAATTCTTATGCATAACATTTAGCATTCTGCTATTTAATTCTTCTCTGATCTTTCATGTATCTTGCCCCATAAGTCTTTGGAGGGCAAGGACCAAGTGTTGTACTTCTTTGTATTCTCCTGTGATGTCTAGTATTATGCATATGCATTGTTGATGGCGATGCACCCTGCTAGAGTGACACTCTCCTATCATTTTGAAAATAACTTGGTTGAATATGCGTTTTGTCATTTGTTTTCAGTGCTTTTGGGTGGGGTAATTAAAAACTGATATTGATATGTTTACAGAGCTGTGTCTTGAGATTGTCTTTTTATCACATTATGTATGGTCATTTAAATTTAAGATATACATGTATATATTTGGAGTTTTTAGGAGATGATGGGGACGACAAGCCAAATTTCAGATTGATTCTTTTGTACAGTGCTGAACGCCCTATTTAGAATCATGGGCTCCTAAAGTTGAGAGTCTAGCCTCTCACCTAATGCAGCAGATCCCTACATGGCATCATAGATAGGCAATCAGGCAGCCTGCCAGGCTCTGAACACTTTCGGGCCCACAAACCTCCTTTCTTTGTGAAGGGGGCCTTTCCATGTTTGGGTGGCTTTACTCATTAGTGAAATAGGAGAGTTTTCAAATTGAACTTTTCTCTAACTTCCACTCGGTCTTAGCCCTTTCCTTTACATCTGCACAGAATGTCTCCTTCCAATTTTGTGTTTGATATCTTCAGATATTTTGGTGACAGTTTTGATCCTACAGCCTGCTCTCTCCCTTTCCCCTTCTCCAAACTTGTCCAATTTTTCTTTCCTAAATTAAGCACCCTCAGTGGACTAGATGGTTGCTGAAGTCTCTTCTAATTCTAAACTTCTGTCATTCTGATTCACAGGGTGTGACTTCTCCACCTTTCATCATTCTGGTCACTCTTTAGAACATGCTTCATTGGTCAGGGTCCTTCTTAATAGTATGCTGTTTTAGATGTGATCCAACTAGTGCTAGGTAAAGTGAGACTGCTTCCTTCCTGGGCACTGCTAGGTTCATTACAAAGATAGCATTAACTTTTTTTTTTTGAGAGATCACATCACACTATTAATTCTTATTGAACCTTTAGTTAGTTTATACTCCAGACATTTTTCATTGAATACTGTTAAGCTGGACCTTCTTATCTTTTAGAGAGAGGCCAATTCCAGAAGTCTAAATTGTAGTTCTTAACTTTTTTTGTCTCATGGACATACCCTTGGCAACCTTTGAACTCCTCAAAAAAGGATGTTTTTAAAATACACAAAACAAAATACATGGAATTACAAAGGAAATCCAATTATATTGAAATAAAAATGTAACTTTTTTGTTCCTTTCAAGTTCACGGATACCTTGAAATCTGTCATGATCCCTGGTTTCATGTGTGTGTGAACTAAAAACTTATAGCTCATGAATGAGGTGGTGACCATTCATGTACATGCCCTCGTATTAAACTGGTGCTACTCCCATTTTGCTCTGCCTCATTTATCTTTCTCCAGGCGTACCAGGAAAGAGGCACCTAAATGGGTCATCTTATAGGTACATAGTGTCTCTCTCCCTTGTGCTTTTGCTTTCATAACTGTCTACAACTTTGGCCTCTTAATCCCGCTCCCTGCAGCTTTTGGAAGGGAGAAGAAATTAGTTAAGCAAGTTGAAAGAAGTTCTTAGACCCAAAAGTATCTGTGAAATTAGACTGAACTCCAGCTTTTCTCTTGTCTGTATATGATAATAAATATTTGGAAAATCATCAGAATGTCATCTTCAGAGAAGACTACGTGTCTTTGTTTTTTGTCTGTGGCACTGTCTTCAAGTAAGAAATATATAAATACAGTACCTTACCCTCACGAGCTTATAGTCACGAAGCCCCATTCCCTTTGACATGGCCAAATATTTAAAAAAAAAAAAAGAGTAAGTGAATAGGGAATAAATACTTTCTACTGAATTACTTTAAGCATTTGTGGTTTTGTTGGTATGTTTCTTTCACCAGCTCAGACTTCAACACAAGTCACCAATCTTTAGCAGGAACTATGGCCTTAAAATGTATCACCTTGTAGCCCACCTGATGACAAGTGTCTTCAGACTTAACTAGATTGGGCTCTTACAGACTAATAGACAATTATGCAGACAACTAAGTTGTTTTTTTTTTTTTGAGACAGTGGAGTTAAGTGACTTGCCCAGTGTCACACAGCTAGTGAATGTTATGTGTCTAAGGCTGGATTTGAACTCAGGTCCTCCTGACTCCGGGGCTGGTGCTCTATCCACTGCACCACCTAGCTGCCCCAACAACTGACTTTTCGTATATACCTGTTACCTCAGCATAAAAGACTTTCACACACATGCCTCACAGCTGCCCTTAGATATCTCTATAGATACATACTTCCTTTCGTGTGCCCATCCCTACTTTGACTTAGTGTGCAGTGTGTGTACACACATCAATATATAAACAAGTACATATATGTGGAAGGTGGCCTTAATCTTGAAGGAAGCCAGGGAAACCAAAGGCAGAAGTGAAGAGGCAGAGCATTCCTTACATGAGGGATAGTCAGTGCCATGGTGCAGAAAGGGGAGATGGAGTATGGTGTTTGAAGAACTGGTGAAGGCCAGTATAGCCAGGTCATTGAGTGGGAGAAGGGAGTAAAGTCTAAGAAAATTGGAAAGTATGTACATACACACACACACACGCGCGCGCGCGCGCACACACACGTTCTTTTCCAAAGGGGGCTTCAGAATGCACATTGACACTTATATGTAAATGTGCTTTCTAGAATAGTACCTCAGCATATTTTCTGTTGCAAACCTAGATTCCAACTGCTGGTGTGTACGTACTACCAAGAAAATCAACTTACATTTAACATGTTTCCTATACTCACAGTGTTTTTGTGTCACTGTATCTGTGTCTTGCATCTTAAAGGATTCAACTTGGACCAGTTCTGCTTTATTGTGTAATCTTCCTTCCTTGTGTTGTCTTGCTAAAGTAAACCTTCTGTGGATCTTGGTTCTATTATCTTATTCTCTTGAGGTTTTGCTTTGGGCTTGCCTTTTTTACCTGTTTGGTAGGCAAAACAAATCCCAAAGTGGTGTTCTGCCTGAGGCATTGTTCTAATATTGCATCAAAAAACAAAGCAAAACCAAAAAACCAGCTGTTCAAGCTTCCCCTTTCTCTTTGTCAGAAGCTGCCAGTTATTGTGAAAGCCACTTTTGCAAGGAGTCTATTCACTCTGTGAGAAACAGAAAGGGAAAAAAAAAAGCCACAGCCTTACAGAAACTTTATATAAGGCTTTTGCTCTGGCTGTCTCTATTGGCACCTCATTCTTAAAAAAGACAGAACCATTTCACAGTCACTTTAAGTGCATAGCATTTGGGGTCACTCAATGAAAGATATAATTACAGGGAAATGATGTGTGGAACAATAGTTGTTTTTGAAGGTGTAATTGATTAAAGGGCTTTCAGTTATGCCTCTAGCAAGACAAGGCTTATTTCTCCCTTTCATAGGGTTTGTGGAGTTGGAACTGGAAGGGACTTCAGAGGCCACCCCTTCCTTTTACAGATGAGGAAACTGAAGCCCGCAGAGAAGTGACTTGACCAAGGTCAAGATCACACTGGCAGAGCTGGGGTTCAAAGCCAGATCCTCTCATTTCACTATCTCACTGCCCCCTTCCTGTTTTCTTCTGTAGCAGGAACTGTGGTTTCTAGTTTTGATTATAAAATAAGCCATCGCTATAAATCAGTGTGTTTTCTAATTACATCTACTTTTGCTATGGTATTTAATTTATTGCATCTTGATAATTTAAAAAATAAATTCATTTAAAACTGTGATTTTAAAAAGTTTGCTGAATTCTTAGAGAATTTAAGTCCTAAGACTTAATTTTTTTCCTCTGGAAGATAATAATTTCTGAAATCTTAATGAAAATTGGGGAGAAAATACTTGAATTTATGAAAATTCTGCTTATAAACAACTCAGAAATACTTACAGATACAGCTAGATATTCAGAAGAATTACAGAATTTAGATCTGAAAGGAGTCTCTGGGATTATCTAGTCCAAAACTCTCAGTTTACAGATGAGAAAACTGAGGCTCATAGACATCAAGTTGACATGTTATCTAAAGGTCATGTCACTGTCTAAGTTCAGAGGCTGTAGAGAAAGAACTGAGGTCTTATAAATCCTATTTCAGAAGACTAGGGAGGCAGATGAATGCCAGGTGAAAGTAAAATAGCTGAATAAAAGAAATTTCCTAAATAAGTAAGAGAAGCATCCAGCTTCTGTAGATTTTAAAATGTACAGTGACTGCAGATGTTTATCTTCTTGGAAGAGGTTTCTGGTGCCACAGGGTTCTCTCATTGGCCTTGTTCTGTTGAATGTTTTGATATTGATTCAGATCAATCAACAAGCATTTGTTAAGACCACTGTGTCTGGGGCACTGTGCTAGAAGCTGGCAGTACATATTCAGAGAATGAAAGAAACCCTTCTCTCAAGGAGCCAGATGCCATGCCTATCATATTGGCAGGTGACACCAAGCTTGGAGAGATAGCTGATACTTTGGGCAGTAGAAGGAGGCTGCAGAAAGATCTTAGCAGGTTAGGACAATGGGCTGGATCTAAAAAGATAACATTTCATAGTAAAGTATTATTAGTTAAGTTTAAAAAATCATTTGTTTGAGTACAGAATAGGAGCTGGGGTTGGGGGTGTTTACTAAGTTTGATATGTCACCATTGTAAAATGACAGTTAAAAAAGCTCATGTGACCTGAGGCCTCCTTAAGAGAAGTCTAATGTCCAGAATAAGGGAAGTTATGGGTCTGTCTTACTTTTCCCTGGTCAGAGCGTGTCTGGAATGTTATGTGCACTTCTGGATACAACATTTTAAGATGAACAGTGACAAGCTGGAGTAATTCCAGAGAGAAGCAACCAGGTTGGTGAAGAAACTTGGAAATAATATTATTTTGAAGGAACAGGGGCAGTTTTAGTCTGTAGAAGAGAGGACTTTGCAGGGGGAGCAGAGCATGATGGTTGCCTTCATTTGTGTTCTGTGGAAGAAGTAATGGACTTGTTTGACTTGGCCCTAGAGGGCAGAACTTAGGACCTAGGACATGTGGGTGAAAATTGCAGAGAGGTGAATTTCAGCTTTATAAAAGGATAAACTTCTGTCCAGAAGTGGAATGATCCATCTGCTTCAGAGCACAGTGAATTCCTCAGCCACTTTTGAGGATCTGAGATGTAGAGAATTGAGTTGAACTGGGTGACCTCTGAGACCCCTTATAACTAATATTTTGTGATTGATTTTTTTTTCCAATTTAGAATTTGGAAAGTATATTTCCCCATATGTTATCATTTAATTGTTCACATTAAATGTCCAGTCAGTAATCACTATTTCTATATGCCAGTAACTGCAGTAAGCACTAGAGGTACAAAGAAGGGCAAAAGAACCCCTCAGACCACCACTCCCAACCAGCTTCTGCTCTTAAGGAGTATGTACAGTCTAATGGGGGAAATAACATGTACGTAACAAGCTATACAGAATAGATGGGAGGTAATCTGAAAGGTAAAGGTATTAATAGCTAAGGGAGTGGTGTCAATAAAGGCCTGTTCCAGAAGACAGAGAATTGAACTCAATTTGAGCTGAATCTTGAAGGAAGCCAGGGAAGCCAAGAGGCAGAAGTGAAGAGGCAGCACATTCCATGCATGAGGTATAGCGATTGCAATGGTGCAAAAATGGAAAGTGGAGGGTCGTGTTTGAGGAACTCCAAGTAGGCCAGTGTCACTGGGTCATTGGGTGTATAGAGGGTATAGACTAAAGTATAAGAAGACTGGAAAGGTGGGAAGAGGACAGCTTATGAAAAGTTTTGAATGCCAAACAGTTTTTATTTGATCATGGAGGTAATAGGGAGCCACTGAACTCTTTGAGCAGGAGAATGACATGGTCAGGCATATGCTTTACAAAAATCACTTTGGCAGCTGAGTGGAGGATGGATTGAAATGAGAAGAGACTTGAGTCAGCTAGACGGCAATTGCAATAGTTCAGGTAGGAGATGATGAAGATTTGAACTAGGCTTGTGGTTGTGTATAGGGATTGAGTGAGAATGAGGAATCAAGGATAACACTGAGGATGAGAGCCTGGGCGACCAAGAAGATGATGGTTCCTGGACAGTAATGGGGACATTTGGAAGGGTGAATGTTTGGGGAGTAGAGGGGGGATGGAGGGCCCAGTAATGAGTTCTGTTTTGGACATGCTGAGTTTAAGATGCCTGTGGTACATTTTTTTCTTTTTTTAATTTATTTGTTTTTGGCCAGGCAATGAAGTTAAATGACTTGCCCTGGGTCACACAGCTAGTAAGTGTCAAGAGTCTGAGGCTGGATTTGAACTTGGGTCTTCCCGACTCCAGGGCCAGTGCTTTATCCACTGTGCCACCTACCTGCCCCTGGGACATTCTTTTGGAGATGAGTGACTGTAGCTCGAGAGAGACTAAGGCTGGATATATAGACTCCTAAGCAGCATTATCTACAGAGGTGATAACGAAAAGTGTGGGACCAGATGAGATCACCAAGTGAGCAAAAAGAAAAGGGAACCCATGACAGATGTGTGGAGTACACTCCTAGTTTGAGTGTAACGTGGACGCCAGCCTAACAAAGGAGACTGAAAAGATGGGAGCAGAACCAGAAGAGACTAGCTTCATGAAAACTAGATGGGTCAGAGTATACAGGGGAGAAGATGATCAATAATGTCAAATGCTACAGAGAAATCGTGAGGATGCGGATTGAGAAAAGGCTGTTGTATTTGATAATTAAGAAATCATTGATAACTTTGGAGAGAATGTCAGTTGAATAGTGGAGTCAAACTAGATTGCAGAGATACTCTTTGTAGGCAGCTTTTTCAAGGAGTTTAACCATGAAGTGGGGGAGAAATATTGGGCAATAGTTAGCAGGGATGGTTGGATCAAGTGAGGGTTTTTAAGGCTAAGGAAGGCATGGTCATCTGTGTAGGTAGCATATGTACGTAGAGGGAGAGATGGAAAATAAATGGGGATGATAATAGATAATTTGCTGGAGGTGGAATCAAGGGCACTTACAGAGGAATTTGCCTTGGCCAAAAGGACTACCTATTCATCTGAGACCATAGTGAAGGAGGATAGAGTGGAGGAAGATAGCTGAATGAAGGTGAGAAGTGGGGAAGCACTTGGCAAATGGCCTCAGTGTTTTCTGTGAATTATGAGACAAGGTCTTTAGCTGAGAGGGTTGAGGAAGAAAGAGGAAAGGACAAGAAGATTTGGACCATTCACTGAGGAGTGTTGCTGCGATTGCTTTGTAACAGCAGCATTTAATTTCCAAGTGCTGAGGCAGCTATCCTTTTCCTAGGAATGTGCACCTTCAAAAAATTTATGGTATCTTCTCTCACCAGGGCCCCTTACCACATTAAAACCAACATTCTCTTCCTTCATTGGTTCTTTATACTGCTTTCTTCAGTGTTAAACTGTCTCTGCCAACCACCCCTGACATTTATTTAGTTGAAGCATTTTGACTTAAATGGTTTTCAGAAATTCTCTGAGTACATTTGAAGTAAGCATTAAATTAGAAATTACCTTGAGTGGATGTTCTTAAATTAGAGCATGTCTGAGATATCTGCCCTTAATGACAAATAGATGTGTGATTTAGAAAATAGTTTTATTGATGTCTTTTTTGGGGGGGTTAAATGTTGTTTAATCACATTTATTTCCCAGTTTTACTAACCTACTTTTTGAATACATTAAAACAACTCAAGTAAAACTGACTAATGGAGTGACAATTGGATGATCAGCATATGTCACAACCCTCAGCTAGCATCCTGCTCATGTCATATATTTTGGTTGGATAGGAGGGGCCATATTGTTGTGCTCTTTAGGTATGTTCTCCTGCTTATTTCTCTCTGTTTTCTTTCCTTTGTTTCTATGACTTCTTAATATTTGTTTCTTAGGGAGCATTTATAATTGATTATATTCATATACTACAATTTGTTGAGCTGTTCTCCAATTGAAGATTCACTTTGCTTTTATTTTGCTACAACAACAAAAAAAAGCTATGAATATTTTGGTCTAGGATCATTCTTTCGTCGTTGACTTCTTTGAGGCAGCAAGATGGCATAGTAGAAAAATCGCTCGACTTGGAGTCAGGAAGACCTGAGTTCATATTTGGTCTCAAACACTTTGTAGCTGTGTGACCCTGTCTGCTTTAGTGTTCTTATCTGTAAAATGGAGATAGTAATAACACCTGCCTCCCTAGATTGTTGTGAGGATAAAACCTTAAAGAGCTTTGTAAATGCTAGCTGGCGATGATGATTGATGATGACGACAACGATGATACAACTTAACTGTTGGGTCAACTTAACTGTTGCTGACCAAGTCACTTAATTTCTAATTTTTTATCTATAAAATATGAGTGATACTTTCCTTATCTTCTTGACAATGGCCTGGTGATAATAAAATGAGATAGCGTTTGTGAAAGCACTTTGTAAAATATAAAGTACCATATAGATTATTGTTGTTGTTGTCATTATGATTATGATTATTATTATAGCTTTGGAACAGCAGCCATTTATTTCCAAATGCTGAGGAAGCAACCCTTTTCCTAGGAACACTGGACACCATTTTTCTCTTCTCTTACGCTGTGGTAAGTTTTAGAATTCCTAGTATGGGGAAATTGAGGGAAGAAGTGGAGGGGAGTGACTCTTCCATTGAAGAGTGTTTTGAATTTGAACAGTTTTCCATTTGTCAATGATAGTTATTATCTTCCCTGTTTTCTTTCTTAGCATATGATCAAGAATTCTTTGTATACTAAGGCAATTTTTCTCATCTTGGACAGTTGGAATTTTCAGTGAACCCTTAAGTTTTTCAGAGACACTTGCTGAACCTATCTGTGGGGTTTTGAAAAACAATTTAGTGTTGGTATTACATTGGCGGTGACCTCTGTGAATAGAGTGCATGGCTTCCTTCACTTTTTCGGGCTTCCGTACTTAACTATGTGTGATCTCTGAAGATGTTGAGGAGATCAGCATTTTACTTTGGATGGCCAGGTCATGGGAAATGTTGGATAAGAGTTTTAGAATAATCTCTAAATGTTTTTGTTAATATAGGTAGTTTCTATAGTGTCTTTTCTTGTAAGAGCAAAATACAGACATAGAATTGAAAGGGATCTTAGGGGTTGTCCAGGCCAAATTCTTAAGGAGAGCAGGAATCCTTTCTACAGTACAACTAATAGATTGTCATCCACTTTTTCCTTTGACACATACAGTGATGGAGAACCTAGTCTATTTATGAATAGCTTTAATTGTGATATGGAGTTTTTTACATCTGAATTGGCCTCCTTACAACCTCCAGTTCACTAAAATTTTGTGACATTGACCTGGACAGTCTAGCCTTGAGATGGAATTTAAAGTTATTTTAGTGCATCATTTGCTGTATCTGTTTGCATCTGAAGCACTTAGCAACTTGTGGCTACTTAGCTTTACTCTTGTTCAAAGCTTCTAAATAAATATTTCCTTTTTTCAAGGGTCTTTTCATCAGTGGTATAATTGGGGATCGGTTTAATATGCGATGGGTTCTATCATTTGGCATGTGCTCCTCTGCAGTAGTGGTAAGTCTGAAAAATCCAGTGTTTGGGTAAATGCTTTTCTAGATAGACATAGTTCATCCAGTTCCTTCAGTCTCTGCCATATATAACCTTTTCTGAGAACATATCTTGGTTCCAGATTTTTTTTCACCTAGAGGCTATTTTTATTTAAATAGACCCTGATTTAGTCTTAACTGTGAATGTGTCAGTTGTTACTTATCTCCTTTCCTGCACCTTTTTCCTATCCCAAAGTACTGTTTTTCATAAACTGTAGCCATATTCTTTTCAAGTACTTTTGAGCCCATACATGTAATTATATGATTTTCCAGAAATATCTACTATCTGGTTTTTATTGGTAAGTCACTCATCCTTTTGAAATATATATTACTTTGCATATTCATGTGATTATAATTGATGATGTCTGATTTTAAATCGAGAAAGTAAAATTTGAAGCATCTTTAAAAGATTTAATAGGCTCCAAATGTAGCCCATATGTTTAGTTTGTTTCTATTTTCAAAATCTACAAAATTCTTAAAAAGCTTGATTCTTTTTAATACTTGTTTTTTTGTTATGGAAGTATAATACATCTCTATTTTAATGTGTTTTAGGTATTATTTGGGTTGTTGAAGGAAATGTAGGTGTAAAGAAGTAAAAGTAGACTGGTAATAAAAAAGATTGCATTTAGTTGAAAGTATCTGGTAATATATCAGAAGAAACTGATGGGGTGGTTGTTTTTTTCCCCCCTAGAATTACCTGAGTAAAGTAAACAAATTATAACTAATCACCAGATTGTAATTCTGTCACATTTCATAAGCCAGTCAGTGTCAAATTAAACTGTATGATTATATTGAAATGGAACTGTGCTCTAATGTATGTGGATGTTCCCTCCAACAACTAAGATTGAAACCCATCCATGTCTGTCCATCTAGTGGCTTTTTTGTCTTTGTCCTCTCATGTACTTCACTGTGGATCCACCTAGAGTGATGAGTGCTGGCAACCATCCTCAATTTCTTTATAAATCAGAAATACACTAGTGGAGTCTAGAGGTTTTTCACTAGTTTTCCCTCATTTTTGCTGTGTCAGCAGCCCATCTTCTCTTTCAATAATACATCGAATTTGTATTATTAGTAAAATTTAATTTGTTTCATAATAAATTGGGCTTTTAATTAAAAGTTTAAGTGGGAATACTATGATATTTCACTCTTGTTTATAAGGTGGGCTCCTGATTGTTCAGGATGGTTTTTTAAGTTGATGAATTTGAACATCTTCCAGGGCAGTTTCCTGCAAGTGAGTATCAAAATCAGAGGGTATATAGCTACATTTGAATGATATCAAATAGGTTGGATTAAATTAGGAAGATTGAAACAAAACATGAGGAGACTGACGTAGACATGATTACTTCATGCAGAGCATGAAGAGAAGAGCAGAGGGAAAGTATATAATAATTTTTCACCATTTTGAATTTTACATTGTTTGACTTTATTAATCTCTCTATAGTCAGTGATAAGTTGTGTTTGTGCCAGTCATAGCTGGCTTCATATGAACATCTGAGAGTTGGTTACATGTCCTTCAGGTGTTACCTTATTAGGTAGTGAGACTCATGTGGTCACCTTGCTTAGCAATATGGGATGCGCCAAATAGAAAATGTGAAATTTAATTTTGGTTGTATTTAAATTATCATTTGGTAGTGTCATAATTCTGCTGTCTTCTTTGTTTTCTCTTCTAAGGAATTTTGCTTTGGCACCCTCACAGAATGGCTTCGTTTCTATAACAAGTGGTTCTATTGTTCCCTGTGGATTTTGAATGGCCTGCTACAGTCCACTGGTTGGCCATGTGTTGTTGCAGTAATGGGTAACTGGTTTGGGAAAGCTGGGTGTGTGCCATTTTCTTCCCTTTTAATTTTCTATGTATTTTATAAAGTAAATTATCCAGACTTGTAAAAACTCACCTACTTTATGTTCTTCATCTTTTACCATTAGATACACATAGAATCACATACCCTACTTTGCTGGTAGCAAGTGCATTCAGAGATAGACAAGACACTTAGATTGCTGAATGTATACCTTAATACATTGCCCATATTGGGTCTGAATAGAATAGAAAATTCTTTAAACCTAATAAAAAGCTAGTGCCTGTTATTTTGTCTGGGGGAAACATACTAAATTATCTTATGGGCCTTCTAAGTACTGTAGTTTGATCAACCCAAATTAGAACTTGATTTTAGTTTTTCTTATTGCTTGCTAGTGAATTTCATTCAGAGACTATAAGAGACTATAAAAGTCATTCACATTTTGGGATTAAAAAATGTAACATTTCTGCATCTGATATTGTCATTTGTAGGCTGTTTCCATATGTTTTAAATAACATGTAATTTAAGTGACTTTCTGGACAGGGACTGTATTTTTAGCTTGTGAACATAGTAACTTAATGTACCAAGTATAGGCTCTCAGCAAATGTGTTAACTATTTTTCCCATCTTAAAAACTCTATTTTTAGAACCTGAAAATTGAGGTAAATAGTACCTGCTTTGTAATTATTATTATGGTTGAGAAAGAACAAACATTATTTTGATCTTATTGACTTTTAGTGGAATAATAACTTTTGCAATAATAGAATGAACTAGTAGTTGTGAGTCAAACCAACTCCTCCTGTAAGTGGTTTAACAAAACTGCTTTGTCAATAGTCGTTTTCTTAGAACATTCTGGTCTTTTGTTTGTTTTGAATGTGAATGAGTAGAACTTGCTTTTATAAGCCTAGGTAGGAATATTGACGCATATCTTTAGTTTCACTGCTAGGAGATGCTAGTAGGTATGCGATGTTTTATAGCTAACTGAGCACCCTCAAGAATTTGTATGGCTCAGACCAACAGAGGAAACATCAGAGACATACTATTTACAAAAAGTCACTTAAACAAAAGCGAAACACTTTATTAGTTTCCTTTACATCTCACCTGATAGGAGGAAGGGGGAAAGATGGACACATTCTAAATTTAGTGGTCCATTGAAGCACTATGTTGCTTGCATATTCAGTAAATATCCCATAAATAAATACCTATGTTATTTAACATATATGAGTATTATATAGTTGTATTGATTTTAGAAGTCTACTTTATTACATTTGTGAAAAAGAGTAAAATTAACAATTTTATAGGAACATATTGGAATGTATTATATATATTTTTTAAATCTTAAAATTAAATTTATGGTGAGGGAAATCATTGTGGTATTTACTAATGTATATTTAATAATCACATGCGATCCTTTTCTAATCTTAATCTCTTCTAGACGTGGAGTTATTTTTGGTCTCTGGAGTGCTTGTGCCTCAGTGGGCAATATTTTGGGAGCATGTCTAGCATCTTCAGTTTTGCAGTATGGGTATGAGGTGAGTTTCTTGCTTTTATCAAAGGAGCTTCCAGGGAGAAGTTAGAATATTATATTTGGTTCATCTTGTATATGTATTTAAAACTTTAACTCTGCTAGGTCCTAAATTAGAAATTGATCAATTTGTAAATGAGCTATCACATTTCTGCCATGAATGATCCTTTCTGCAGTCAGGCACAGTGAAAAAATTTGTCTTCCAGTCTGCCTTCATGTTAAGTTTTTCCCTTGGACTTCTATTTTTCCATTGTACCTAGGTTACCCTAAATATTTCATGTAGAAAGCTCAAACATCTTGAAACTCCACATTTGATTATTGAACTCAGTTTTTCTCCGTTCTCTGGGATAATTTATTTTTCTCTTTCACTATCCTTTTTCTTATGCTCTTTAGGAATTTATTTTCTCCAAGCACTGATCTGTGATCTGCTCTTCTTTATCTACTTCTTTGTAAGCATATCCCTTCTATATCTTCAGCTGTCATCTCAATGATGAAATCTACATTTTAAACTCATATCACACATTTATGCAATCTCTACTTGGATGTCCTACTGTTATTGCCAACTCACCATATCTGAAAACTAATCCTTCTCCTTAAACCAGTCACTTCCTCATTTCGGTCACTCTGACTCAGTATTTTGGAGTCAGATTTAATGCCTTCCTCTCTTTTTTCCACTATTTTCAGTTAATAACAAAGACCTACCAATCCTTTCTTCATAATTTCAGCAGTATTTTAGAAAATTTAATTTTATTAATTTTTTAAAATTGACAAGCATTTTCTTTCCTTTCACCTCACTGTTAAACAAAAAGAGAAAGAAAATGAAAACCCTCATAGCAATTATATGTAATCAAGCAACGCAAATTCCCTAATTGGCCACAAAATGTATGTGTCATTCTGCATTTCAAGTCCATTACTTCTCTGACATCTAGTGAGTGACATGTTTCATTTTTTTTATCTTCTATAACCACAGTTTGTCTTTGCATTGATCAGAGTTCTAAAGACTTTCAAAGTTGTTTTTTCTTTGTGATTTTGTTATTCTTCTGGTTCTGCTCATTTTGCTTTGCATTACTTTACATTCATACACATCTTCCTAATTTTCTCTGAAATTTTCCATTTTTAGTTTGTCAGTTCTTATGGTACAATAATATTCTATTACCTTCACATACCACAGTTTGTTTAGCCATTCCCTAGTACAAGGAAGAGTTAATTTCCCATTTTTGGCTATTTTGAAAAGAGTTGCTATAAATGTTTTTATTCAAGTAGACCCTTTTCCTTTTTCCTTGATCTCTTGAGGTATCGGTCTAGTAGTGTTATCTCAGGATCAGTGAAAATTAGTCAACAAACGTTTATTAAGCACCTGCTATGTACCAGGCACTGTGCTAAATGCTGGGGATGCAGAGAAAGGCCAAAAGTAGTTCCTTCTCTCAAGGAGCTTGAAGTCTAACAGGGGAGACAACATGCAATCAACCATGTATAAACAAACTACATATACAGGATAAAAAAGGAGAAGAAAGATTTTTGCTGTATTTAGCTGCAATTATTTCCTTTGTTCCTTTACTTACTGAATGAGATTATCATAAAAATGCCAAAAATTAAACTGTTATAAAAATACCCGATACTAAATCAAAGCACTGGTGAACACATACATAATATGTAGGAGGCCATAGTTATAAGAAAAGAATAAAAATAGTTAAAGGAGAAATTGTATTTGTTAGGAAGTTTTGGTTTTTTTGTTTTGTTTTTTGTTTTTTGGCTTTTAGGCAATTGGGGTTAAGTGACTTGTCCAAGGTCACACAGCTAGTAAGTGTCAAGTGTTGGATCTGAGGCCGGATTTGAACTCAGGTCCTCCTGACTTCAGGGCTGGCGTTCTATCCACTGTGCCACCTAGCTGCCCCAGGAAGTTTTAGTAAAAACATTCCTGACTTCTTCACAAAGAGTAAGGAAACAAATAGTGGCAAGTTCACCAGCAGCTCCAACAGGATACAAGATGACTTTAAAAACAGATAGGTTTTTATACTGAGGGCTGATGAGCCACGTCAGAAAGATACTTGAACTTAATTGGACCCATTCACAAGTATAGAAGTAGATACCGTTTCATTTGAACAGTGGGACCATCTCCAGCAGAACAAATATCTGGAAATATTTACAGTTTAGAGACTTATGGAGCGTAGTTCCAAAACACTTCCCAGAATTGCTAGACTATCTCACAGCTCTGTCAGCAGTGCACTAGTGTGTCTGTTTTTCTGCACACTTTCCCAGTTGTCATTTTGCTTCGTTGTCCTCTTTTAGGCCAATCTTAGGCATATGAGATAGAACCTCAGAGTTGCTTTACTTTGCATTTCTCTAATAGCGATTTGGAGCATTAAAAAATTTTTTTAATATTAATATGTAATAGCTTAGATTTCTTCCTCTGAAAATTGCACATTCAATAATCCTTTCTCCATTGGAGAATAGATGGCACCACTGTTTCTTATTTTATCACATTGTTTCATGGTTAGTGTAATGGCTTCCTAATTCATCTTTTGGCTTCTAGTCTTTCCTTCACCAAGCCACCTTTTCTCCTCTATAGAATTGGCAAATTAATAATAATAAGTAATTTGCACAGTGTTTGAAGGTTTGTAGATCCCCTTACAGTAGCCCTGTGAGGTGGCTAGTGCAAGTAGTATTCTGCCTATTTTGCAGATGAGAAATTTGAGACTCACAAGTTGTGGCTTGTTCATTCTTACAGAGCTGATGAGTATCTGAGGTGGGATTTGCAGACAGCCAACCTGATTGAAAGTCCTTTACAATAAATCCTTTCACATTGCCATTGTACTTTCTGAAACACTTTTCAACATAACATTTCTCTCCCTTAAAAACTCCAAGATGCAGATAATGGTCTCTAATCTAAGTACAGGACTATTCTTCCTGGCCTATTTATTTAGCCTTCTGTCTTATGCTGCCATCTTTTAGTCTGCTTTATAACCCTGTATTCTCCAACATAAATCCTGTATTCTACTCAGTTTTATCTGCCCACTGTCTGTTTCTTCCATTCACTGTGTTCATTTCTTTCTCTGTTACTTTGTGTTTGTCTGCTTATGCTTTGGGCTACAGAGCCGAGCTCTGCTTTGAGTCCTAGATCTTTTGTAAAACCTATTCTTGTTACATAGGTCAGCAATCATATTTCGAGCTTTTGAGTTTCTATTGAATCACTATATGTGCTCCATAATCTGGCCATGGAGGTTCTTAACCTTTTGTTTGTGTGTCATGGATCCTCTGGACCTGAAGCCTGTGGTCCCTTCTCAGAATAATGTTTTTAAATGTGTATGTGTATGTATATTTATATATGTATATTTTTAGTTACAAAGGAAACCAATCCTATTGAAAGTTAGGTTGAGATCTGTCTTATACTATTCTCTTTTGTGTATTATAGTTCCTGTTTCATCCAATTATTATGTAAGGTTGAGGGCAAGAATTCATATTTTTTGAGTTTCCCAGAGGACCTAGCATAATTTTGAATACAGTATATTTGCTTAATAAATAACTCATGAGTTTATAAGAAAATATTTTTATTTTTTCTCTTCTAGTATGCCTTCTTGTTAACAGCGTCAGTACAGTTTGCTGGTGGAATCGTTATCTTCTTTGGGCTTTTGATATCTCCAGAAGAAATTGGTAAGGAGAAGTAGTCTGATTTGTTCAGAGCTCCTTGCTGTTAGGGAAAGTCCAGGGCAGGGATTTTAAGTACTTATTCTCCTAGAAAGGAAAAATTATGAAATCTGGTCTACTGATTGTGGGGCCCAGTTTTTATTTGCTGTAAAAATTGTGACACTGCCTCTTTTGGTGGTGATGAAACAACAGAAAGTCACCATTGGTACACAGAAGAATCAAAAGGGGATCCTGATTTGTGATTTGCAAATTCTTAAGATAGCAGTAAGGAAGTAAACAGTTTTCCATATCCCTCCAATTAGGACTTCCAGTTTACCTATTACTTTTTATATGGACCACAAGTATAACTTAGCTTTATTTTTGCACAAGGCTAACTAAGTACTGCACAAACACAGCCCAACCAGAAACTAGAGGTTGCCTCTGTGATGTATTTCCCGAAGAACGTTTGTCATTAGGAAGCAATTTGTCTCACTTCCAAGTAGGAATGGTATTGGTAACTGTTAAACATTATCTAGAAAAGACCTAAACATAACTTCAACTCTACCAAGATGGGTCATTCTCAATATCTTAAAGGCATAAGGTACTTTTTTTGCTTAACAGTCATAGGACCATGGGATTTAGAACTGGAAGAGACCTTGAATGTCATCTAGTTCAGTCCTCTCATTTTTATAGGTGAAGAAACCAAGGTCCAAAGAGGTTGAGTGACTTCCAGGATAACACAGGGAGTCAGGAGCAGAATGGAGACTCAAATCTAGGTCCTTTGGCTCTGAAGCCAATGTTCTTTCCATTGCACTGGATTCAATTAGGTAGTCAGCAGCAATGTATTAATCACCTACTGTGTGCCAGGTATCATACTGAGTATGGGAGGGACAAAGAAAGGCAAAATTAATTTTTGCTCTTAATGAGCTTACATTTTAATGGGGGAGATAGCATTCAAACAGCTATGTACATACGAGATATACATACAACAGGGTAGACTGGAAAGAATGTCAGAGGGAAGGCCTTGCGATAAGGGAGACCAGGGAAAGCTTCCAGTAGCTGAGACTCAAAACAGGAGCTGGAAGTAAGGAAAGAGAGCATTCAAGGCATCAGGGGCAATCAGTGGAAAGGGACAGGGTCAGGAGATGGCATGTCTTGCAAGGAACGTTAAGGAGGCCAGTGTCACTGGATTGTAGAGTATGTGGAGGGAACAGTACTGTGAAGAAGATTCAAAGGTAGCAAAGGCCTAGGTAATGAAGGGCTCTGAATGCCAAACAAGATTTTTATGTGTGATCCTGGAGCCACTGGAATTAATTGAGTTAGGGGGCTGCTCTTTTTGTGCTTACACATATGGGTCTTTCCTAGTTGTATCATTCAGCTGTTTCGGGACCATAGCAACCAACAAAAAGGAAAATCCTGAACTAGAAAATGGAGTGTTCCTCAAAATAGTCTAATTAAACCAGATTATCATTACTTCATCACTCCCTTGGTGTAGGGTTCATAAAATTCCAGGGATAAACCATCTTTTTAGGTCTCTCTTTAAAAAATTAAATGTCATATTAGTATCTTAACATTAAGCAACAATACAAATTATCTGGTTAGCTTAAGGGAACAGGGAAAGCTCATCTGTGTCAGACTGTTTAACATTTATTCAGTCACAAAGGCTAAAAGAAAAAAGAATGAGAACACACACTGCTTATCCTATAAATGTTTTGTCTTTTTAGAAACTAAATTTAATTTTATCTCACAATGACAAGCAAAGGCTTTTGAATTACATAATCAAGGGCACAAGAACAGTAAATAAAAACAGTGAACATGCAAGATGAAAAGACTCCAAACTCAAGATTGTACATGATTATACGTGTCTGTAGACTTTAGCTGTTTACCACTTATTCATCTCATCCCTTAAAATGGTATATATTTAACACAACCTGCATTGTCCTTTTTTACCTATTTACAACGTATGTATGGATTTATTACTACTACTGTTGTCTTTAACAGGTATAGTTAATGTGTATATCATTCCCTTGGTTCTGCTTTTTTTCATTCTAACTCACTTCAGCTAAGATTTCCTATTTAAAAAAGTTATGGTAACTTAGCTTAATGAAATGTGTGTGTTTTTAAGGAGAAAGATCATAGTCAATATATAACTTCGTGCTTTGGGACCATGTTTTCATACATTTTAGGTCTTCCAGGGGTTGAGGAAGAAGAAAGTTCTGAAGATGACCCTTGTAAACCATTAATTAACAATACTGACAATGAGGATTGTGAGCCCAATTATTCAATCCAAGAAGTCAGTACAATCCATCAGCCCAAGGCGATCAGCTTTTACCAGGCTTGCTGTCTTCCTGGAGTTATGCTGGTAAGGACCACTTCATCTATGTCTGCCCTTTGGTGTTTACCCTGAAGATCAGCACTGCCTGGCATTGAAACATCCTTGAGTACTTCTCTTTATAGTTGCCCTAGAAAGATTGGGATTCTTTTACCTCTTCTACTTAAAACTTAAAACAAGAGATTTCATAGTGTTTTTTTATGATGCATTTCAGTGTTGCCATAGCCTTTGCAGTAGAAGAGAGTTAAGAAAACTTTTCCTAATGCCTTAACTAAATCCTTTCTGCCACAGTTTTTCAGTCTTGATGTGGAATTTCGAGAACTGCAATGGAAATAAGAGATCTACGTCATGTTTCCAACTTGGCCTACTGACTTTTTGTGTGGCCTGGTGTGGGCCACTCTATCTGTGTTTGCTTTTTAGTTCCACATTTCCCTTTACATATCACACTAGGTTATTTTCTTTTGAATTTTAGTGTGAGATTATAAAGCATGTGAGCTTATTAGAATAAGAATACTTTATAAATATAAAGTGATATTGTAGCTTTCCAAGTAGGCTCAACATTTACAAATGATTCATTTACTGTTAATTAGTTAATAATTATTATTTACTCTTTACACCAGACAATGGTAACAAATATTTTCATCTATATTGTTAAGTATGAATTAGTGCCTAAACAAATTTACATAATTGCCTGATAATTAAATGTGATATATGTATTAGCTTTGCAAACCTTAAAGTGTTATATATGTAATTATTGTTACGTTGTTGGTGATGATAATATTGGAAATAAAATAGAGTTGGTTTTTTTTTTAGGCCAGCTTCCTAACCACTTAATTTTGTTTTTTTAGCTATCATCCCATTAGTCAACTCACACCCCTGCCTTCTGTCTATGTATAGTCCTTCTTACTGCCCTAAAGTTCTTAAGAGTTATCATCTTCCCATGTAGGAATGTAAACAGTTTAACCTTATTGAATCCTTTATGATTTCACTTTCCTGTTTACCTTTTTGTTTCTCTGAACAGTTTAACCTTATTGAATCCCTTATGATTTCACTTTCCCAATTACCTTTTTATGTTTCTCTTTGATTCTTGAATTTGAGAATCATATTTTCTGTTCAGCTTTGGTCTTTTTATCAGGAGTGCTTGAAAGTCATCTAATTCATTAACTACCCATTTTTTTTTTCTGAAGGATTATACTGTTTTGCTGGGTAGGTGATTCTTCATTGAAATCCCAGCTCTCCTTTGCCTTCTGGAATATCATATTCCAAGTCAAGCGTTCTAATGTAGAAGCTGCTAAATCAGTTATCTTGACTGTGCTCCATGATATTTGAATTGTTTCTTTCTGGATGCGTACAGTATTTTCTCCTTGACCTGGGAGCTCTGAAATTTGGCTATAATTGCTGGGAGTTTTCATATTGAGATCTTTCTGGAGGTGATTGGTCAATTTTTTCAATTTCTGTTTTACCCTCTGGTTTTAGAATACCAGGACAATTTTCCTTGGTAATTTCTTGAAATATTATATCTGGGCTGTTTTTGATCATGGCTTTCAGGTAGTCCAATAATTCTTAAATTATCTCTCCTGAGGGCTGCTAGGTGGCACAGTGGATAGAGCACTGTTCGTGAAGTCATGAGGACCTGAGTTCAAATTCGGCCTCAGATGCTTACTAGCTGTATGATCCTGATTAACCTTGATTGCCCCCCCCCAAAAAAAAACAACCCAAAACACGCTAAATAAATACTCTCTCCTGGTTCTGTTTTCCAGGTCACTTGTTTTTCCAACGAGATATTTCACATTTTCTTTTATTTTGTCATTTTTTTTGGACTCATTAGCTTTCACTTGCCCAGTTTTGATTTTTAAGGAATTATTTTCTTCAGTCATCTTTTGTACTTTTCCATTTGGCTAAATCTATTTTTAAGGAATTATTTTCTTCAGTGAATTTTTGTATGTCTTTTTCCATTTTTTTTGTGCCTCCTTTACTAAGCAGTTGATTTTTTTTCATGATTTTCTTGCTCCACTCATTCTTTTCATTACCCATTCCCAGTTTTTCCTCTACTTCTCTTGATTTTTAAAATGCTTTTTGAGCTTTTCTAGAATTCTTTAGACCCACATTTTTCTTTGAGGCTTTGCTTGTAGTCGTTTGACAACTATTCTGAGTTTGTGTTTTGTTCTTCCCTGTCACCATTATGTGGTGAAGTTCTTTTTGTTTTTTGCTCGTTTTCTAACCTATTTGGTGACTTTAACTTTATATTAAAGTTTCGCTCTTCTCCTGGGGTGGAGGGGGCACTGTGTCAAGCTTCAGGTTTTTGTGATACAGTTTTCAGAGCTAATTCTGGGGACCTGTAAGTTTTCAGTTCTTCCAAGGTAGTATGACCTAAGGAGAGGTGTGGTCACTGCTCTCCTGGCCTGTGCTATGGTCTGTGAGTGACCACAAGCACTCTTTTCCACCCTAGAACTGTAACCAGGATCCCCCACTCCCCTACAGTTACAAGCTCTGAAGTGTTAGTATTTCTCCTCGCTCTGAGACTATGACCCGGGCCTGTGACCTAGATCCCTGTATGGGCAATGTAACAGAGTCCTGCCCCCAGTGCCAGCAGAGTACCCCTTCTGACCAGTTGTCCAGGCCCCTTACCTTCTGTGGGCTGAGAGCTACAGGAAGTCAGATGCCCCCAAAGCCCAGGCTGGCTTTCTGGGACAGGACATTACTGCTGGCTTGTGCTGGCTGGCTTACTGCTGCTTACCCAGAGCTGTCTGCACTGGGCTGTGCTCAACTCTCACCCCAGTGAGACAGACCTTTCCTGTTGACCTTCTAAGTTGTCTTGGGCTGGAAAATTGTTTTACCCTATCCTTTTGTTGGTTCTGCTGCTCTAGAATTTGTTGTGAGGCATTATTTTAAAGTTGTTTGGAGGGGCATTTGGGAGAGCTCAGGTGAGTTCCTGCCTTTGCTCTACCCTCTTATGCTAAAATTTCTAAGTGTTGTTTCTGGTCGGCTCACTCATTTCATGTAATTTAAATTCAGAAAATGATATAATTTGCTCATGACTAAATAGCAAACCCTTCTGCTACATTATTTATTCTTGACAAACTTTTGTTTCAGTGGCTACAGGTATAAGGATGTAAAGGGAGCCTGGTTAACCTCTATCCATTGTGCTTGTGATAGCTGGTCTGGATAAAATGATGAGGATGACTTGGTTTTGGCTGGGGCAAGGGTTGGGGGCAGAGGGATAAGAGGTGGAGTGGAAAAGAGCTTTATCCTCTAATGATGGAATAACTGGCTGCTCCAGTGAAAAGACTATATAAGCCAGATGTGCTCTGAACTTAGCCTGCTTGTTCATCCTACTTTTTCCTTGAATGCTAAGTGTTAGTTTTTTCCAGTGGCCGCTATATTGGGTATTGAAATCCTAGCTCTAGCCCTATTTTAAGACAATAGCAACTTTTTTTTTTACCCAAAGGAGAGCCACATGACAGAAATTTTGTGCTCGGTTTGAAGAATTGGCAATTTGTTGAATATTTACATTGTAAGCTTTTAGAAATTATTATGTGGAAGTATTTTTAGTAACTAATGTTTAGGTGATTGACTTATGAACTACATTTAGTCATAATATCCAAGTGTAAGTATTATATAAACTTTTTAGGAAATAGTCAATCAAAATACTTGGCTACTGATAACAGAAGACTAAGGTTTGCTAAATGCATTTATCTGTGGCACATGCTGTGTGTGTATGGCTGATCTTTCTGAATCAGAGGATAGATATACGTGTGCCATTCCCCAAAGGATCAAACCACTGGTGTGTGGACTCTTCCTAGAGGCCTGAAGGAAGTAGTGGGGGAGGCCAAATGTGAAATAAGCATGTGTGTATATCCTGTGCTAGTGATGCATCACATTCTCCTACTTCTCTAGAAGCTGGAGAAGAAAAAGTGTGTTGGGGAGGGGTGGGATAAAAATAGACAAACGGGGATTTGTAAAAGTGTTTAATTTCTAGTGCTATTGGACCCAGATTCCCTTAATTAACACCACCGTATGAAAAACTACCAAGTTCTCTTTTTGTGTTTTATGTCTTACTGGTTGCTGAATATTTTTTTCTAGTATTCCCTGGCCTATGCCTGCTTGAAGTTAGTGAATTACTCCTTCTTCTTCTGGCTGCCCTTTTATCTGAGCAACAACTTTAGATGGAAAGAGGCTGAAGCTGACAAGCTCTCCATTTGGTATGATGTCGGAGGAATTATAGGTACGCTTGGAAAATGTCTTTAATTTCTTGTACTGTGTTTAAAAAACAAACTCCTGGACATCATTTAAAAAGTAGATTTTTCGTTTCCTGCCTGTTTTCTAGAAGATCTTCTCACCTATAGAAAATAGTCAAATCCTGCTGGGGGGGGGGGAAGTCTTCAAGAAAGGAATAGTAGAATTAAAAGATCCCTGTGGGTTTTTTTGGGGTTTTTTTGTTGGGTTTTTTTTTTGTGAGACTTTCTTGGTCTCTTGTTGATTAAACTGTTCCTCTGTCTTAGCTTGTTAGGCAATATTTTTTAAAAAATTTATATTGTTTTTTTAAATGTAGCGTCCCCTCCCTCCTATCCAACGCTGTTTCAGACCATTATAGTTAAATCTTTTTTTCTTTAGATCAAAGGTAGAATGATTATATTCATTTTTTTCAGCCTTCTCAGAAAAAGACAAAATAGTGGCCCACTTACTGATTACTAGAGCAGGAATAAAATAATAACAGTGGGGAACCTTCCTTAGTGTTCCACAGGGCCTTCATTCTAACTCAGCACCTTGTTTTTAATGGAGTGAGGGTGCTGGGCTCAGGTAGAAGTAAAAATAGCCCATAATCAAAGGCAGGAGCCTCTTTCATAACAGTTGAAACATTTTTAAAGGGGATTACTGATACAATTAAAGCAGATCATGAGTGCTTCTTAGATAATGTTTAAATCTAGAATTGTGATAAAGTCAGAAAGTACTTTGAGCACATAAAAGGAAACACCTCCAGTGGTGTCCCGTTCCATTTCAGTGCTTACACTGACTTCTAGGCCACAAGCCAAAGGGTCAGTTTTGCTCCTGCACTGTTTAGTTAGTGCAGGCTAACCTGCCGACAAGGAAATAACTTGAAGGAAGGTATTTGTAAAAGTTGGGTTTGATGGGTGTGGGTCACGTCAGCTGGCCTATCCTACATCCTTGGGTTATGAACAACCCAGCCATAATTGCTGCACTTAGACTTCTTGCTTGCTGGATTTTTATTGAACTGAGTGAAAAATAAAATTCAGGAAGAATACGCATTTGCTCTAGGCGGATAGCAGTTGAGGGCGTTGTTTTGTGTGTTGATGATAGTGTCCATAATCATTAGTTTTTATGGGAACTAAACATCCCAGGAAATTTACATAAAAGAAGTCACCTATGAAAAAAGCTTTCTAAGAGCATAGGACATATTTTTTAGATGAATAGGGTATAAATGGTCCTAATGATGAGAGTTAACAAAGAATAAGATATAGACTAGCCAGAGAAGACACAACTGAATAAAGTTGAGAATGTTGGTAAAATGTATATATTTTCTGTACTTGAAGGTGGAACTTTACAAGGCTTCATCTCTGACATGCTACAGAAAAGAGCACCAGTGCTAGCTGGGAGTCTGCTTCTGGCAATTGGGTCCCTGGTTGGATATAGCCGTGAGTATACCTTGCACAAAAAGTGCTTTTCTGGACTTTGAAGGAAAGGTACTAGCCTGTAGTCTGAGGCCAGTTTGGGGGAATTTGCCTTGAAGCAGGCTACACAGGGATAATATAGTGCCTTTGCAGCTGATTGTAAATGTCTGGAAAAACCATCATCATGTAGTTTTGTTTTTGTCTCAGAGGAAACTAGCATCTCATGTGCTTTGTGGATTTTTTTAAAAGAGCTTTCTTGCTAGCATACATGCTTTGTTTAAGGACAGGCTCCAGAGAGTCAGCATTGCTGCCAATAAAACAATAAAAGGGCCAGAGGTTTCCAAAGAGGAGAGATGTAATTAGTAGGTGTGGTATTTGTGGTTGAAGATAATGTTGAGGTGGGAGAAGAGCTCCTTCTTGGTTTATAGAAGTTTTGTTGGGTATGACTTCCAACAAGAGGCAGAAGTTTCCCAGCCAGAAAGTGGGGGGGAGAGGGGAGGGTGGCAGCATCTTATCAATTTACAGTCTCTGCTTGTGAGCCTCATGGAGTGTTAGGTCTTAGTGCTGTTGAATTGTGGCAGATGGAGCTCTTAAAAGCCAGTGTCTTAATAGAATATTCTCTCTTGCAGGTTCTCCAAACAATAAGACTATTAATGCACTCCTAATGGCTGTTACAGGTATGGTATGCTTGAGCAAGCTGATTCGTATCAATATGAGATAGATGGTAATTGGACTATGTTACAAGTTTATTTAATGGTAACTGTTGATTTAAGTGAAAAGAAAGATGTGTAACTCATCCAGATTATGTTTCTGCAAAAGTAAGATGATTTCTCCATTTAAGGCACGAGATTCTTATTGATAGAGGACTAATCTCTGAGTTAGTAGTTTATTGATTTGAAGATTTTTCCCAGATTAGTTATTGCTGCCACAGATGTTGATGTTTCAGGAGAGAAACCAGTCCTGCTGTGGGCTAAATAAAAGGAAATAACCTGCTGGGGACTTGAAGGGAAGTCATTGCCCTCTAAACAGGAGGTGGGGAGAGAGGGGGATGGAAACTACTAAAAAACACTCACAAAAGCTTTCTAAGCAGTTCCACCTTTATGGAGACAGCACCAGAGAGTTTCAGAGTTCCTTTGGGAAAATTTAAAGTAGCCCCCTATCTCAAATGAATTAATGAACAAAACATTTAATTGTGTATTATGCTTCAGACACTTGTGTTAGAAATTCAGATTTTTTTAAAAAGAGACATTTCTTGCCCTCAAAGCTTGCATTCTGTGGGAAAATCATAAGTAGGGAGAGAAGTGACTAGGGAAGAAAATTTTGTTCTAGAGAATTGGAAAACGGAGGAGGGAAGTATATGGAAGGTGTAGCTGACAGATGGTGAGCTTGGGTTGCTGAAGGAGATTTGGAGCTGTCAAGCATGACCTGGGGTGCGTTCAGACTCTATGAGGACATGCCTTTGCAAGACCCAGATTATTCTGTGACTGGGTAGTTTTGTCTTTTGTTATTTTAAATCCAGGTTGTTTTATTTTTCTGCTCTTCAGTCTTACGTGTGTCTTTTAAAAAATCTAAATGAATAAATTCTTTCTGCATCCACATCAAGGTCTCTAAACAGAGTAGCCCCCTTATTTCTTGCTCATTTCTTTAGTGTCCCTAGACTTCTTACCCAACTTTCCAGCCCTCCTGGCATCACCTTCCTTGTAAAATTTTAGACCATAGGATAATGTTTATCCTATTTCTGAACATGTGAACTCTGTTCTCTCCAAATCTGGGGCACATGTTAAACAGTTCCCAACTTTCCTCTCCTTTCACAAACTCTTTTAAGAGTAATGATTTCCCCTCAAAGTTCCCATCTTTTCAGCCCTGGCAACCAGTTCCTCCATGTTAAAATAGTGGATCGGTAGAGGCAGAAGGACCATGTAGTCAAACCTTTCACTTGAATATACTAGAGAGGTTTAATTCAAAGACATTCCTGGAAGTTAGAGCTGCAGTATGTCTGAGAGATCTTCTAGCCCAGGAGTGGGGAACCTACGGCCTCAAGGTCACATGTGGCCCTCTAAGTCTTCAAGTGGAGCCCTTTGACTGAATCCAAACTTCATAGAACAAATCCCCTTAATAAAAGGTGATCATTGTTAAGTGTTTACTACTGCCCCTATCAATGAGGTCCATGGTCCAAACCATACTCTCTCATTCTAGTACTCATATCAGCAGATACACTTATCTCCCTTGATTCATTCACCTGCAGATGTGAAATTCTTATAAAGTTCTGGTTGAGCATCTTCAACTTTAATTATCCGTTAGTTAGCACATGACTTTGAACAAATTCCTTAATCTCTCCAGTCCTCAGTTTCTTCTTCATCTTTAAAATGGAGGTATTTTTCCGGCTCAAAAATCCTATTCTGCTGTGAAGTCAGACAGTTATGGGTATAATAGAAACTGTCTATAATTGGTATCTAAAAGCAAACCTATTAAAGTTCGGGTATCTCCATTACATGGTGGTTGTTCCTAATCTCATCTTGCTTCAGAATAAGACAATAAGCAGATGAACAGTGGCAACCATGTACAGACATGTATACTTTGGGCTTTGTAAGACTGGCACGCCTCTCAGTAACGCAAAGAGGGCCATGCAGTGTTCTTTATCCAAAGTGCTGAACTAACTGATTCCAGTCCACAAACTGCATGAGGAATTTTTAAGATAAATGGCTACGTGAGAAGCATGTGCCTCATTCCAAAAACTTACACATACTTGCTTTGCCCCAGCCACAGACACAGACTTCCAGGTACATTTAAGGCTCTCTTTCCCCAGGAGCCACCAACTCCTTGAGGAACAGCCTCTCCCTGTGCTCTTTTATATGCTTTTCTCTATGGAATGCATGCTTCTCCCTTTAGATGTCTCCCATCTGATGAAGCCAAGAAAAAACTAGCATATGTTTCATATGAAAAAGATAGAGGATTGTCAGTGAAGCAGTCATAAGGTACTGCTATTAAACTTATTTCAGGAGCTGTTGCATATTCTAATGGCATAGATGAGATCATATTGAAGCATGCCCCAAGGAGCTATCCAGATTATTTCATTTTATTGGAATTTTCTCATGCTATTGCTTAAAATAGGTCAGCTATCAGTGGCTTTGAAAGCATTTTAATTACAAAAGTTTTTGTAATCAAGTTTTTTATGGGTTTGTGTTTGTGTTTTTGGTAATAGGGTGTGGCCTATTGGACAAATCAGTAGTATTTCCTGTTCTCTAATGAATATTCTGAAGTGTATCTAACATTTTTTGTGCTTTACAAAATATGATGAGAGCGAGCAGTATGAAAAGTGCCATGAAATCAACTTTTTAAGGCAAATTCAATTGGAAATGTAGAAAGAAATCTTGGGTTAGTCAATCAGTAAATAGTGGGGCTGCTTTGCTGGGGTTAGGCAGACTGAGGGAGGAAGTGCAGGATGATCTGATGATTTCTTGTTTTGACTAATTATTATTCTTCTTTTTTAATTAATTTATTTTTAGTTTCCAGCAATCACTTCCATCAGCTTTTGAGTTTAAAATTTCTCTCCCCCCCCACCCTTTTCCCTCCTCAAGACGGTGTGCATTCTGATATAGGCTCTACTTATACATTCCTATTAAACATATTTTCACATTAGTCATATGTAAAGAAGAATTAGAACTAATAGGAAGAAACATAAGAAAGAAAAAACAGAACAGAGGAGGAAAAAAAAGAGCAAATAGTATGCTTCCATCTGCATTCAAACTCCAATCCAAAACTTTCCCTGGACGTGGACAGCATTTTCCATCATGAGACTTTTGGAGATGTCTTAGATCCTTGCGTTGCCGAGAAGAGCTAAGTCTGTCAAAGTTTTGACTAATTCTTCTTAATTTAGTGCTAAGCCCATTTTTTTCTGTGTTGCTGGAGGGTGCTTTCCATGCCCTCTGAATTTTGGCACATGTCCTCTAATTTGGCACCTTGTATCACTGCCCCAGTCACTTTGTCCTGTTTAGGATTCTGTGCCAGTGGTTTAGGGAGTAGGTGGTGTTATAGTTTATAGAAACTATGTGGGGGTTCTTTATATGTTTGGGTTTCATATACTTGGATTCGGATATTTCTTACTTTGGTATTCAAGGCCTTTCACAGTGGGGCTCCAAACTAGTTTTCCAACATTATCTTACCCTGCTTATTTTATTTTTACCTGTTTTCCAGCCAAGTTTTTCTGTTTGTTCTTCTCCAAACATAGCCCTTGTTTTCTTACTCCCATAGGCTCCCAGGATAATAGGATCTTAGATTTAGTGCTGGAAGGACCTTAGAGGCCATCTACTCCATGCTTTTGCTCATGCCATTTTCAGTGCCTACAATGCCCTTCCCCCACATCTGTTCTCTTGGAGGCCCCATTCAAATGTTACCACTCTAATGTAGCCTTCTCTGAGTCTTGTGGCTTATTCTGTCTCAAATTCATACTCCATTTTGTGTTATTACTTTCTTTGTATTTGTGTACATGACATAACATTCCTTTGCTTGTCTCATCTTATCTCCCCCCTCCCCCGCCTTTCGACACTCTCCCACCACATATATATTCTTTGAATCCAGAAGCCATATCTTTCTTATATTTAACTGCTACCTTTGGAGCAAACAAGTCAGATAGCATAACTGAAAAAGCAAGATACTCTGGAGGAGAGACAGAAGATTCTACCTCTACTCCCACTCAAACCCTGATGGAGATATCCCAGGACCCTGAGCCCAAGAGTTCTGGGAATAGTAATGACCTCCAGACCATCCATCCTGCTTCCAATCCACAGCCCCCACCTGTGAGGAAGAGGCCCACCATCCTTTCCACCAACAATGCCAACTACTGACCAGTTGCCATCAACAGGCAGGGCTGCAACTCCTACTTCCCTACTAACCACAGATGCTGAAGATCTGGAAAAGGAAGTTCTCACCACGAAAGTCTTTGGCACTGCCAAACAATTTAACATGAAAACTGGATATGGTTTTGTCAGTGGAAATGACACTGAAGAAGATGGATTACTTTCTGCTTTGCCACTATACCCTGAAGACCATGGGAACTCTCCCTCTGACTTGCAAGTGAAAGCCCTCATATGTGTTGTCTTCCTTATTCAGATGTGAACTTGATAGCAAGACTGTCTTCACTTTCCTATTTGTATTTCCAGTGTTTGTCACAATGCTTTGTACGTAGTCAGCATTTAATGAATATTTTTTCATTTATTCATCCATGTTGTATCTAGCAGAGTGACATGCACATAGGGCCTCAGTAATTGTTTGTTCAGTTGGATTGGTCAGTTTGAGAAAAATAAAACCCTTGGAAAAAAAGAAGCTGGAGATGAAGGCACTGCCATTCTTGCCTTTTTATCTTTTGCCTCTTGCCTGTTAGAAGATAAGGATGGTATTTTGAGATTTTAAGGGTTACCCTCAACAGTGCCTACCTTTCAGAGTTGTGAAAATCAAATAAGATAATATTTATAAAGCACTTAGCACATAGTAGGTGCTGTATAAATGCTTATTCCCTTCTCTCCTTTTACTTGCTTTTTTATTCTGTGATTTATCAGAAACTATCCTGTTTACATTTTCAGGGTTTTTCATTGGAGGACCCTCCAATATGATTAGTGCTGCTATTTCTGCGGATTTGGGTCACCAGGAGCTGGTACAAGGGAGCAGTGAAGCTTTGGCCACAGTTACAGGAATTGTCGATGGAACCGGGAGTATTGGAGCAGCAATGGGCCAGGTGAGATTATCAAAGGAAATGCTTTGGTTTTTTTCATATATCTATATCTATATATATCTATATCTATATCTATACCTGTATCTATCTATCTATCTATATACACACACACACACATATATAAATTAAGGTTTTTTTATAAAACAAATCAATAAAGCTAAATCAAAAGCAACCTCCCAAAAAAACTTGCATATTTGACATTTCAGATAAATAAGTAATTAACACAAATCTATAAGGCCAAGATCAATTCTCAAATAAGGGTTTATGATACAGAGAAAACCTTGGCATACTTACCTGATAAAAATGACCTTTCTCACACACTTCTGTTTCTTTTTTTATCATTAGTTTATTTTGAATTATCAACAATCACTTCTATAAGCTTTTGAGTTTTAAATTTTTCTCCACTTCCCTCCCCACCTCCCTCCCCTAGATGGTGCCCAATCTGATATAGTCTATAACATAGACATTCCTATTAAGCATATTTTCACATTAGTGATGTTGTAAGTAAGAATTAGAACCAATAGGAGGAACCACCAGAAAGAGGAAACAAAACACAGGAAAATGTTAATGTTAAAGCATGTTAAATATTTCTCTGAAGATGGAGGAATTCATCTTTACATTACAGTATATGGTGCTCCTGCAGTATCCTAGAGTTCTCCAGCTTTTTATCTTCATGGGTGTCAAAAGCTTGTGGCTTGTGGGGAAATCCTACTCCCTATCACCTTCTACCATAACAGTGCCACTTGTATGTATATATATATATATATATATATATATATATATATATATATATATATATATATATATATATATATATATATATATATATATATATATATCCCTCATTCTGTTCTCTTTTCCCCTATCATAGGAAAGAGTATTTTTTCATTTATTCATCCATGTTGTATCTCCCTATCATAGAAGCCTTCTGTACCCCATTGTTGGTTTTTTTTCCTGGCCTCTGAGAATGAGGTTCCCCCCTTCCTTGCAAGGCTGAACCCCTTTGAACTCATCTTTTCCCATCTCCCTCAGGATCTTGCCCCCATCAGTCATTCCCTTCTTTACCTGCTGGCCTCTTCCCTGCTACCTACAGATATATTCACCCTTTCCTTGCCTTTTGAATTCACTGTATTTTTCTTTCACTGCCAAACTCCTTGAAGAATTTTCTTTGCTGGTTGTCTCCATTTCTTTACCAGTGCTCACTGCTTAGTTCCTGTCTTGCTTCCAGTCTCACAGCACTACTGAAATGACTCTAACAAAAGAGGTGTGTTGATTACTCTTCTGGTCTGTGAGTGACCACAAGCACTTTTTTCCACCCTAGAACTGTGACCAGGATCCCCACTGCCCTGCAGTTGCATGCTCTAATGTGCTAGTGCTTCTCACTCTGGGACTATGAGATTTAAAAAGGTCAATCCCCAGTTCCATGAGACATACCCCCTCTGCCAAAACTTCAATACGTTCCAAAGAGGAGCTCATACAGCTGCTGTTGAAGTTTGAAAAGGCTTATGGTTCCACATAAAGATTCTTTGAAATATTAGCTTCTGGGCTAACTGTGCATGTGTGTATTTGTATGTCGTGCCTGTCTTTTTGTTCCTCTTTTTCCTTTCCTTCATTGAAACTGGTTCATCACCACTTTAGATGGAACCATGAGCCTTTTCAAGTCTCAGCCCTGGCTAACTGGGCTTTGGGTATCCACCTACTCTTTTTCAGATAATATTTACATAGCCTGCATATTATCACTAGATAAGCCTTATGTGTCCTTTTTGTCATAGAAATATTGAAAAATGTAAAGTGGGGTGGGGAACCTGCAACCTTGAGGTCACATGTGGCCTTATAGATCCTTGGGTGTGGCCTTTTGACTGAATCCCAAGTTTTATGGAACAAATCCTTTTATTAAGGGGGTTTGTACTGTGAAGTTTGAATTCAGTCAAAGGGCTGCATTTGAGGACCTAGAGGACCACATGTGGCCTCAAGGCCACAGGTTCCCCACCCCTGGCATAACTTCTCTTAGAATTCTGAAGTTTTTAAAACTCAAGACTCTACTGAGACTTTTAAGACACTCTGTGTGAGATTCTTTGGTAGTGAAATCCTTTGTTCAAGTATTTGAAAAATGAGAGGCCTGTGCATGTCCCTTGAATACCATTATTAAGTCTTTGCCCCAAGGAGAACAAAGAAAAAGGAAAAGGACCCATATGCATAAAAATATTTATAGCAGCTGTTTTTGTGGTGGCAAAGAATTGGAAACGGAAGGGTTTCCCATCAATTGTGGAATAGCTGAATAAGTTATGGTATGTGAATTTGGTGGAATATTATTGTGTTGTAAGAAATGATGTAGTTTCAGAAAAATCTGGACTTACATGAACTGATGTAAAGTGAAATGAGCAGAACCAGGAGAAAAATCTATATAGTAACAATATTATAAAGATGAGCATCTGTGAAAGATTTAGTAATTGGTAAATACAACGATCCAACACAACTCTCAAGTACTTATGATGACAAATACTTTCCACCTCCAGGAAGAACTAATGGACTGAGTGCAAATTGCAGTGTATTTTTTTCCTTTTTTTTTTCTCATTCTTTTTTTCCCCTTGAAATATAGCTAATGCAGAATTATGATTTATATAACTTGTGCATAATGGGTATTATATTTCTTGCCTTCTCAGTGGATGAAGGGAGATAATTTGCAACTTAAAATTAAATATAAAGTAAAATTATTTTTGAAAAAGTGAAAGACCTACTTATAAGCCTAGAGAAGGTTTTGTAATGTATTTTAAGAGAGGAAAACAGTTGTCTGAAAATGTTCATCTTGTACTCCTAAAAGGTGAAGTGGATCAAAGGTAAGCCTTTTCAACTAATAATTGTTACCTGTCATACCTGATAGGAGACAGTTGGGTTTGGAAAAGGTTTTTGTGTATGTAGTGAATTACTAGGCTCTTAAAACTGGGCGTTAATAGAAAACTTCACTACCTTTAATCCTTTCAAATAGTTGTGTTTGATCTTGTTTTAGCCATTCAGTTTATTAATGGATATACAATCATATTGTGATCTGTTCTTTTATGTTCAGTTTTTAGTGTCTTTGATTCAGGACAACCTAGGCTGGATGTGGGTTTTCTATTTCTTCATTTTAATGGTAAGTGTATATATTCTTTACTAATTTTTTAAAATTCCATTTTGTCTGAAGACCATATTTTAATTCAATCAAGGAAAGAGAACTGATTTTTTTTCTTAAAGACTCGTTTGTAAAAAAGTGCCATATTTAACAGTCCATAAGATATCTCTTTTTTCAGGGTAAAAATGGGCCTATATTAGCCTGCATTTTATAGTCCATTCAGTGTTGGATCTCTGATGCAAGGAAAATCAACAATAGAAGACAAATTAGCATTATTGATTGTTAAATTACTCAGGATTGTCCCCTGTTGAAAGTCAGTTATCCCTAAATTCTCGTGTTAACAATCTAAGTCTAGATAAAGATAGCTATAAGCCGTTATTTGTCCAAGAGCCTCAGCAGAAAGGCCCCCTGGATAATTCAACCTCTGCTTATGGTCAGCACTGGAAGCTTTATTGAAGCTAATACTAGAGTTGCAATATTAGGATAAAGATGGTGGTGGGCAATGACAGTGGGTGGAAAAATTACACTGTGTTTCTATGCTGTTTATAGAAAACATTTTACTTCCCCAGAGTATCTTTCAGTGTCTAAAAGTTGGCACTCTTTAATACCCTGCTTCTAGCAAGGCCATATGCATGGAACTGGAAATGTCTCCTTGTGTCATCCTGCTAGTGCTCCTGGTGGAAAGAAAACAGGATCAGTGATTTAAAAATCCTTTGTTTAATCATAATTGCACCAATGATCTGCTATATGGGCAAATTATTTTATTTTTCTGCCTCAGTTTTTTTCTTCTCTAGAATGGAGATAGTACCAATTGAGAAATGACTACATCCATCCAGATGGGGTTTTCTGTAATATTCTAAGAGAAATTAGTTTTAAGTGGTTTTTTTTCTGATACTGTTTTCTTTTCACAGACAAGTTGTACAGTTCTGTTCATCTCACCATTAATAGTGAGGGAAATAAGATCTCTTGTGCTAAGAAGATAAGACATACATTGAGTGAATGACCATTGTCCCTGGGAGAGAGGCTGTTGTAGAAAAAACAGAAGGACACAAACTGGACTGTTATTTCATTTTAACTTCTTTGAAGTCACTATATTTGGAGGAAGTTAGTTGGTGGGATAGACTGCTGCTGAACTTGGAATCAAGAAGAACTGAGTTCTATTCCTGCCTCAGACCCGGGCATTGTGACCCCAGGCACCGTCACTTAAACTTCTGTCTGGCTGCCTCCAGGGGTTGTTGGGAGGATTAAATGAGATAACATTATGTAAGGTGCTTTTTAAATCTTAAAGCGCTATGTAAATGGTAGCTATCATTATTATTGTTGGTGGGGGAAGGGGAAATCATCCAAAATGGCTGATTAAGCATTCAGCATTATCAGCCCCTGGAGGAGCAGATCCTGAACAGCCACAAGGCAGAACAACTGTCTACACTACAAGAATGGACTGACTGACCTCTACAGGCACAGGATGCTCCATTTTAATTCTCCTGCTCTTCTGGACCTTGTTCAGGTTCATACCTGTCACCTTGATAGCTGCATCTCTTCTCCATCAAACAACACTAAACCTTGAGTTTTCAAGTTCAGAAAAAGTGAAGATGAGGAACCATGGTTTTTATATCAGTGAGCTTCTTCAGCACTGTGATTTGCCATGGTTCTTGTCCATGGTGGCAGTGAATTAAAGGAATAAGTGATTCTGGAAGCATTCTGTTTTGATCAAGTGCATGAGTTGGACTTGAGAATTGTTTTAAGTATTCCTTGGTTGAAAAATTCCTCTGGCATATCAGTTCTTAGGGGAAAATGATACAACATGCTTAATAACTTAATCACCAGCTCTCTAGCTTTAATTCATTCTTATGGCCACTCTTTCAGTCCACTTGGCTTTATTAAGAATTACTTTAACTCCTGGAAGTACTGATTAACCTTCCTTTTCAAGGACTTATAAGGTAGGTTAATTATCTTGGACATTCCAAAATATAACTAGCAGCTGAAGTATGTAGTGGCCCAAATTTGCTGCCAGGGAACTTTAATAACGTAAATGAGTTATAATCCTCAGCCCTATTATTAGGAGATTGATCTCTGTTCCAGGTGAGCTCCCTAAGCCATTTCAGCAAAGAATCAAAATTGGAAAGGAGGAAGGGACTTAGGTATGGAAAGGAGCCTGTGACAGTTGAGAATCAACATTGGAAAAATGGTAAGGTCTGGGAGGTAATTGTTTTATAGAAAAATGAAAACCATCTCCAAGGACATGCATTCTATGCTAGTCACCAGCATTAAGGGTTGGGGGTGGGGTGAGTGGGTTAAATTATGTAAACTAGCTAGCTAGGGGGGGAAACGTGCAATTTTCGATGTATTTCTGATTATTGAATTGGTTAGGGAGCAGTTTTCAGTCTCCTTATTTTCCGTTATGTGTTGTATTTGTGGTTTTGGAGAAGGAATCACTTTTATCAGCCAGATTTCTAATCAGGTTGTTACTTATTGCTGACAAAAAGGGAAGCCTTTGTGGGCTAACAAGGGCTGGAAGTCATGGGAAGAGAAAAATATACTGACTTTTATGTATTTTTTTTTAATTTTCAGTTCCAAATTCTCTTTCCCTCCAGTCCCTCTCCCACCACTGAGAAGGCAAGCAATACTACACCCCTGTACCCATCATACGGGTGATGACTTTTATATTTTTAAAATTATGTAAATTAGTGAGGGGATTTTAATTTATGTATTTAAGCATTTCATTGTGTGAGCTGTAAGAATTAGAATGTTATTAGTGCCTTAAGATTCTCTGGGATATTGAATGTTGCCCAGTGATGGTTTCTCTACTGTGCTGGGAGGATTCATGGCTTCTCCATTAGTACACAGACAAGTGGCAGCCTCATTTCTGTGCTGTTATTTGAGAGCCTTCCCTCCCCTTTGTCTAATATTGGGCCTATTTTCAGCTAAGTTTAGATAAATTGCATTCTTTGAATTTAATCACAGGTAGTAGACCAACCTCAATCTAATCTTTGCTTCTTTCTAGCATTTAATGTAGAGAGTTTTTTCATGAATAATCTGCAGTATTTCGGGACCTATATTATCCCTTATTTGTTTAATCAAATCTTAACCCTTGTGGAAAAATTAAAGATGTATAATTCTATGTACTTCTGATCCAAATGTATTATTAAGAGGTTTTTGTCATGATACAAAATAACTTATTTGGTCTTACACAATCTGAAATGAGGGATACAGTTTAAAGAATATGTGTGTATACAGATGTATATATGAATTTATAAACATACATGTATACATGTGCGTACCTTTTACTTCCTACTGTTTTATCTCTCTTTAGGAACTGTGTAGCTAAAAGAAAGGCTAACAATAAAATGCCTTCATCCTTTACTATACAGAAGGTTCTCAGATACCTGTTATTGAAACAAAACTCCTAATCTTTTTATTTTTAAAAATCTGAAGCAGCTTGGGGGTTCCTTAAAAGGATCAGGTGGGGGAGCATTCTAATAATGTTAAAAAATGAGGTGACATGAATAAATTTTTTTATGAAATGGAATTGGTATTTGTGTTTCTTCCTTGAGAAAATTAAGATTATCTTCTGTGAGTTCATTAGTTTTTCCCCCCTGCATTCCCCTCTACTTTTATCTTTGCTTCCTCCATAGTCTTAGAGAAGGCAGTGTTCTTTCTTCTGCTTTCTAACCCTGTCTTCCCACACCTTCAGGCCCTGATTTTCCACATTGTTAGGCTTACATTTTTCAGTTTATTCTCACCTTTTTGGGAGGTGATGGTGGGGGAATCTCTTGACTGGTAGATGTAATGGATTCTTTAAGACTAGTGTTTGGCCTTTTTTTTGTGAGATTACTTTCCCAGCTGCTTTTATCTGCTAAGAGGTCTGTTATCTTAGCTAGTTTGCCTAAGATAGTTACCTTAACCAGTGCTTGAAATCACTTGGTTTCTCATTGGCGTTTCCTTTCATTTATATTTTGGCCTTTTAAACACACCTTTTTGATCTTTTTCCTGCTGCCTATTCCAGTAGTGGGGAACCTGTGGCCTTGAGACCACATGTGGCTTTTCTAGGTCCTCGAGTGCAGCCTTCTGAGTGAATCCAAACTTCACAGAACAAGATGTGTCCTCGAGGTTCCCCACCCCTGGCACTCCATGATCAAAAGGACAAGAGATAACTTTGATAACTGATATAATTGGAAGTCTCAAGTTTCTCTTTCAGCTGGGTTGTACTTCAAATTCTGATCAAGATATGCTTACCTTGGGGGACTTTTAATAAGAAAACTTATTCCCTTTTATTTTAGCCTTTTTTTCCTTATTCTTTTTTTTTGGAATACTTGACTAACACTAAATCAGCTTGTGTCTAGAGGCTAGGTAGGTGTCTTTGATTTGGGAATTTTATAGCCTGCTTATGTCTTTTAAGGAAATTAACTTTCTTTTTCCTTCTGAACATTGCATTTTTTTAAAACAGTTTTGAAGAGCGTCTAGAGATCATTATTTAGACACAAATGATGTAGACTAGAGGTTATCCTTCCCTTTTGCTGTACGACTGACCCACCTCCATTACACATTTCCTGGCTCATAGTGTTTAGAATTCTTGTTTAAAATTGTCCATATGTTACAACCTGTTCTTGCTATGCATCTACATCGCCCTTTCGGTTACCTATGATGTTTATTATTCTGAGATTGTTTCATGATTCATAGCCACATTAATATCTTGGGAAGAATATTGGTATATATAGATTTTTGTCTACGTAGAGAGGAATATCTTAGCATCATTGAAAATCCAGCATTATTTTCCAAATGCAGTCTATCCCACTCTTCCTTCTTTTGAATTTTGAACTTAGCTGAAACATTAGTGCTGGTAATAACTTGAAGGCTGCCTGACTGCATGTAGTAAATAGCCTGGATCACAGGCAATCTTTTGTTTTTTCTGTATAGACTAATAGGCTAATTTTTAAAAGTTTTATTGATCTTTGTTTTTACTTCGGTTATTTCCCATTTCCCACTACTCCATATTGAACCTCTCCTTATAACCAAAAAAAAAAAAAGCATCCTTGATGCTAGAGAGAGAGCATGTCTAACTATAACATTCTACCCTAGTTTCCCACCTCCCTTGCCATACCTAGGGACTCATCCTTTCTCCAAGACCTTCATTGATTTTCCTATTACTCAGAGGTTAACTTCATTTTAGTGATCTTTTCATTTACGTTGTACTGATCTGTGTATCTTAGTTCTGCTTGTTTCTCTTTCAGTTTATCCAAATCTTGCCATGTTTCTATGAATTCTTTATAGTCATCATTTCTTAATTGCGCAGAGTATTCCATTCACGTGCCCATAGTTTTTTGTTTGGGGTTTTTTTTTTTGGGGGGGGACGTGGCCATTTATCAATGGGCATTCAATTTTGTTTCCAGTTCTTAAGTATCACAAGATGGCTGCTATAAATATTTTGGTATATGTTGAATTTTTGTCTTACTTGGGGTATATACCTGATAGACAGTCAAAGGGTGTGGTTGATTTGGTCACTTTTCTTGCATTATTCTAAATATCAGAATATTGAACCACTTAGTTCCATTAACTGCATTAGTGTTTGTCTTTTCATGCATGGGACCACCCCCTACTCTAACACTGACTGTTCCTAGTTTTTCGTCTTTCATCAGTGTCCATAGTGTGTTTGTTTTAATTTACATTTTTCCCTTTAGTACTAATGATTTGGGGCATGTTTTCATGTAGTTATAGTTTGCAGTTCTTTGGAAAATGTTGTGCCTATTCTTTGATTACTCATTATAGCCCTTGCTGATCTCTTTTGAGGGGTCTTGGATCTCATTACAAAGGTATTTTAGTATTCTGGTGATTAGGACACTCAACATAATATCTGTAAACTCGAATATTGTTTTGTTTCTACTGCATCTTGTAGGATAACCTTCATGGCATGGCAAGCACCTTTCTGGAATCTTTCCCTGTTTTATAGCTTGCATTCTGTTGTTAGTCAAAACAAAGTTATTTCTGTTGCATCTATCAAGGAATCAAGATTGTGTATGAATTAACACATAGTTAATATACACATAGTATATATTAATATGTACATACCTATACAATGTATGCATACATATGTACTATATACATATATAATATTAATATACACAGTTTATGTTAAAATACTTTGGTCCTAAACAAAACTGAAAATTGAAGTGTACACAAAAAAAAACCTTTTTAATTTCTAATCAACGCGCAGCTCGGAAGGCAGGTCACTGTATTATACCTTATCACTCAGCAGAGGGAGACAAAGTTTCAAAGACCCTGTCATACATTTTTTTTTTTTGGCAGAAGGGTTCAGTACAGTGCCACATTGTTTTTATTATTACCCTGTTCATTTTGGCTTCATAAAAACCTTTTGTCTGTTTGCTCTTACCCTTTCCCTTTTCTTAAGCTCCCATTTTCTTCTGTCTACCCTTAATTACAGCTGATGTCTTCCAGCCTATTTCACTGAGATCTTCTGGGGCCAGCTCCCCTAGCTATCAACCTTTCTTCCTCAAAATTGCTGTTTTTGTATTATCTTTTCCTTTCCCCTAGTGTCCAAGGAGGGGAAGAAGGAAAACCTCTTTACTCTGCTTATTTAGTACTTAATAAATTGATTGATTGGCATTCTATCACCTTAACCTTTAAGCAACATTTCTTCAGTCCCCCAAAAAGCCTGCATTTGCTCCTAGAGTCCCATTACTAACATCTCATTTATCCTGTACTTTTCAAAGACAAATGGCTTTCATATGGGCAGTCTGTACCTACTTACCTCCATTTCCTCATCAACTACTCCCTCTTTGATCCTGGAAGTCTGGCTTAGAATCATAGAAGTGAGTTGGAAGGAACCTTAGAAATCATTAACCCAGCCTTTCACCTAATAATACGAATTTCTTCTGCAGTGATCCCAATAGGTCATTCGGTTATTGTATGAATACTGCCAGTGAGTGAGAAGTTTACTGTGTGGCATTATAGTCTACATAAGTATGTTGCCTGACAGTTCAGTTAGTTTTTCATTATGCTGGACCAAAACTGGCTTATAATTTCTACTTAGTGGTTTTCATTCTGTTTCCTGGGGTCATGCATGGTACCTAATCCTCTTCTGTATTATGACTCTTCAAACCTTTGAAAACAGCATGTTGTCTGTTCTCTTAACTCCACTGTGAACTGCCCTAAAGTCTCCAGTGATGACTTCTTGTCAGGATCCAGTGAACACAGTTCTTCTCTGCTACATTTGACAGCTTTTTGAAATTTTTTTATACCTTTGGCTTCTGTCATAGCAGGGTCTTACCTCTTTGAGGACTGCCTTGTGGTCTCTAGCTAGATTTCTTCCAAGTCTGGAGCCCTCTGTTGCCTTTTTATAGTTCATTAGGGAGCAGATCAACATATCACTGATTTGCAACCTGTAAATGGATCTCTCAGTTATCTATGTTATAAGTAATCTTTTATTATAAGCTTACAAACTTTCTCCACAAATAGAAACATTCAAATAAAATGAATGGGGTAAATCCTCAAATCTTTTAAAGTCCAACCTATGTTTCAGCTTTTTTATTTGTCATTTTTTACAGCACAGCAATTGGTCTTCTACACAATTTATTGTTATTTCCCAATCACTGAACGTTTAGGTTTTTAGGTTTTTTTTTTTTGATATAACAAAAAGCAGTTATAAATATTTTAAATTTTCCGCCTTTAATAATAATCTTAGGATAATGGTGGATTTGTTGGGCATTAAATTGAGTATGCGGAGAATTGTAACTAATTCATTATATGTTGCCAGATTGCATGTTAGAAGGACTACTAATTACAATTTTACTAAAAATGTAATAGGTTGCCAGTTCCCTCATGAGTGCTACCAATATTGAATTTTGTCATTTTTAAAACTTTGCCCATTTTCAGGGTGTAAGATAGTACCTCAAAATTGGTTTTATGTTTCTCTGATTATTTGAGCATTTTTTCAAGTGATCATTAATCATTTGTGCTGCCTTCTTCAGAATACCTCAAGACGTGTCTTTTGACCATTTATCCACTGAGGAATGAATATTACTCTTGTAATTTTGTGTCAGTTCTTTGTAGATTGTAAATTTTGTGTTTTTACTAGCTGTGTTTTTACCACATTCTTTTTTTATCTGTTTCCTTCCTCTTTTGCCTAATTGTTTTAAAATTGTGAAATATCTTTTTATTTTTTGTTGTACAAAATCCTCTTATGATATCTAATTCATTTAATTTGTAACCAATAATTTGATAAAATTTTGAATCCACAATTGATAAAATATCAGGAGAAAAATATTTTCTAGTTGCAATAGTTGTTTAATACTTAAGTCATTTGTCCAATTGGAATTTGTATATGGTATGAGATATGAAGAGACATAGTAGCATAGTGGAAAGAACCCTGGATTTGGAGACAAGAGCTGGGTTTGAATAGAATCTGCTCCTTGGGATCATCAGTGTGATCTTGGCCAGGTCACTAAACTTCTGTGGGGCTGCGGTTCCTCATCTGTAAAATAAAGTCTTGAACTAATTTCTAAAGCCCTTGTCAGCTGTTATTATAATTTTTATCATTTCCTCTTCTATAATCCTGTTATATTTTGAAATCTGCTGTAGGTATGTTGCCCTTCAGTTTTTGTCAAAATTCTCAATGTCTTGCCCTTTGTTTTTCCATATACATTCTGACATTGTTTTCAATTCTAAAAAGTAGCCCATTGGTATTAAATTAAGTCTATAAATTAATTTGAAAATTTTTGACATTTTTACCATATAGGCTCAACCTAACTATTCTCTGATACTGTACCTATTATCCAGTTCTTCAGTTTCTTTTTTTTTTTTTTTTTTGGTGAGGCAATCAAGGTTAAGTGACTTGCCCAGGGTCACACAGCTAGTAAGTGTCTGAGGCAGGATTTGCAGTCATGAAGAGTCTTTCTGATTCCAAGCTCCATCCACTGCACTGCACCACTGAGCTGCTCTTTTCCTTTTTTTAAAGGCAGTTGGGGGTTAAGTGACTTGCCCAGGGTCACACAGCTAGTAAATGTCAAGTGTTTGGTCTGAGGCCAGATTTGAACTCAGCTCCTCCTGACTTCAGGGCTGGTGCTTTATCCACTGCTCCACCTAGCTGCCCCCTGAGCTGCTCTTTTCTTTGCTTCTTTCCCTGCTTCCAGTCTTTCTCCTGTCTCCAACTCATCTTCCACACATTTGCCAGAACACTCTTCATAAAGCATCTGCCTTCCCACCTTTCACAGAAATTTTCATTGGCTCCCAGTGGACAGAGGGCATTTAAAATCAACATAGTCTGGCACTTACCTATCTTTCCCTTTACAATTCTAGGTAAACTTGCCTTCTTGCTGCTCCCTGAACTCAGCACTCCTCTCCTCCTTCCCTGTCTTTGCCTTGGTTGCCTATTTACCCCCACTGTGGTGTCAGTGGTACTGCAAAGGACTCCCCCCATTCACAGTCTTAAAAAGTCATTTTTAAAATTTTTCTGCTCACCTCTGCATGATCAAGTTCTGCTAATTCTTTTAGATGGCTTTTATTTAATTCACTTTCCCTTTCTACTACCCACTTTAGTCCCGGCAGCATCATCTCTTATCGGGATTAAGGTAATAGCTTTTTTTTTTTTTTGCTCTTTGGTGAGGCAATCAGGGTTAAGTGACTTGCCCAGGGTCACACAGCTAGTGAGTGTAATGTGTCTGATACCAGACATGAACTCAGGTCCTCCTGACTCCAAGTGCTCAATCCACTGCGCCACCTAGCTGCCCCTTGTGATAACAGCTTCTTATCAGAGCCTCTTTGCCTCCAGTTTCTCCCCATCCTGTGTGCCTTATACTCTTTAGAATAACCTGAATTTTATGCCAGCCCTTTCTACTCAAAACCATAAAATTTCCACAGCATAGCAACTGACAAGCACTTGTTAAATACCTGCTGCCTGCCAGGCTCTATGTTGGGTATATAAGGTGAGACAGCCCCTGTCCTCAAGAAGCTAACATTCTGATGGAATAACAAGCAGACGTGAATCACCAAATCACACAAGATCCCAGTGCGTACATAGGTTCTAGGTATTCTACAGATCCACAAACCATCAAACAAATAACTTACATGCCTCCACCAATATATCTGCTTTTTCTGTAGTTAGCCAGAGGTCACAATTAGTTCAAGACAAAGGCGTTTAGTGAAGATTTGCAATGAAATAGTAACATATCACACTGCCCCCGTAAGTGTGCAGAGCATGCTCTTCTACAAATACACCCATTGTTATTGGGGAGAGTAAGCATGCACAGGGGTCAAACATGAGGGGGCCCACATGTGGGGAGGGACAACTCAAACCGAGGCTGGATGGTGATCAGGCTGCTTTTCACTATGGCCCCTCCTGGCCAGCAAGAATCCCTTATCCAGATAAGGGATCTTTGCTGGGCTGGCTCCCCACTGGGCCCTCAGTGTGCTAGGGTACAGGGCCTTTAAGGGGGCAGGCTGACTACCCTCATGTCTTAGCCTCCATCCCCAACTAACAAAAAACAGCCAGAGTGGCCACAGGCTAAGATTAGATATTTCTTTTTAGTCCTGTGTCTGGGCTGGAGATCAAAAGCCTTCCATCACAGATAACTTGGGATTAACCACTTTTATAAGCGCCAAACAGCCTCTTCAATTTAGTTGCAACTTTATTTGAGTCTAAACAAAAGGTAACCCAAGGAGGCAAGGTCAGTGTTGTTCTACCTAGCTCCGGTTCCTGTTTTGATACCCAGCAGCCCCAAAGTCTACTGTAGTGCAACTAGTGAAAAACCTCTGTCTTCCTGTACACATACAAAGTCAACATAAAGGAGGCCGACTGGGGCATTCTGGAGTGACCCACTGTCTCTTCCCTGATGTTCTGACTGTGTGTGTGTCTGCCATTTGTGAGAAGCCACAGCCACTTTCTTCTTGAGATTTCTGTTGTCTACGAGTAGCTGTGTCTCAGGATGCTTGCGTGTTTTATGTGACCCTGAGAGTGATCAAGTTGTCACAACATGTGTGGGAGTTAAGTAAGTGGGACATAAATTCTGTCCTGTGTAATTATGTGGGTCTGTAGGCATTTATCTGAGCCTTGCTTGTGCGTTCCAGAATTTAAACTTAGACACTACTTGCGTCTTTGGGGCCAAAATAAATCACCAGGTGATGATTCATTTGGGTAATTCCATAAACCCTTCCTTTTCCTGGAATAGTTCTTCTCAACTCCAGCTGCGTCACACAATGGATAGAGAGTGCTGGCCTAGAGTCAGGAAGACCTGAGTTCAAAATCCAGCCTCAGATACTTACTAGCTGTGTGACCCTGGGCAAGTCACTTAACGTCTGTTTGCCTTAGTTTCCTCATCTGTAAAATGGAGACACCTACATATTATACAATAACAGCATAGGGTTGTTGTGAAGATTTAAAGAGATAATAATTATAAAGTACTTAGCACAGTGCCCAGCACATAGTATATGCTATATAAATATTTTTGTTGTTCAGTCAGTCATTTCAGTCACGTCCAACTCTTCATGACTCCATTTTGGGTTTTCTTGGCAAAGATACTGAAGTGGATATAAATATTAGCTATTATTATTATTGGTCCGTCTGTACAATGAAAGAAAGATGATTTCAATTCCAGCTTCTCATCAGTGATTTTTCAGAGCCACTAAAAGCAGGGAGGACAGTAGGAACTGGAAGGTTTGTGTCTGAGAAGCTCAAGGCACCCTGTACATGTTAGCACTTGTATCCTGGCAGCCAGACTGGGAAAAGAGGACTGGGGAAGGTGCCAAGGGGTCTGCCAGAACACCCGTGCCCTTGGCAGAGCTAGGAATAGAATCCCCAGCTCCCAGTGACTCATCATTCCTTCAGTCGGCTCCAGCAGTGATGTAAGTGACTGAGGACAGAGTGAGTCAGGCCTCTCCACAGCTTGCTCACCACGGCATCTCAGTTCAGCTATAGTGCTGACGCTGCGGCTGCTGGGACGTGGGCAAAGGGGAAGCTGAGGATGCAGGAGGCAGAACTGTTTGCTCTGAGTCAGTCTTGGAACCAGTCCCTTGAGACTTAGTGAAAGGCTCTTTGCTTTTCCCAGAAGCGCACCCTGGGTGGGTCTGGAAAACAAGGGAAATACTGAAATTTGGATGGAAACTAGGGAACAGATTGACCTATCTACCCTAGTTGGGAAGATCAGTCCTAGATTTTAAGTGCTCTGTCTCCCTTAAACCGACCCTTCCTGACACATTTTGTGTGTGCCCATCACCATCCCCTACCCAGTTCTCTCGCCATTTCTGCCTCTCTCTCTTCTCTGTATTCTTAGTGAAATGGAAAAAATGCTGAACTGGGAATCAGGAAAATCCAGGTCTAAATCCTGCTTCCAGCACTTCATAGCTGTGTAACCTTGAACAAGTCACTACATTTCTCCAAGCCTCAGTTTTCTCATCTGCAAAATGAATAAACTAATATCTGTAGTACCTACCCCAGAGGGCTTCTGTGAAGATCAAGTGAGGTACGCCATGCTCAATGCTTTGCAAAACCTAAAGCATTAGGTAAATGTTAGTTGTTATTATTGCTCCACTAGTACCCTTGGATCTCTACTTTCCAGGGGATTTGGGGGTCTCTGGCTTCATTTCCTGTCTCTTGACTGGTGAGCCCCATTATCCTTTCCCTCCAGCCTCACCAACAGTGCCCCAAAGAAGAGCTCCAGTTCCGTCATCCTCAGGCATAAACTTTACTAGTTCTTCCCTGCTGTGCTCCAGTGAGCCCAATTTACAGTGAGCCCAATCCCATAGTGCACAGTTTAAAATGATGCTTCTGGTTAATGAGTCACCTGTGTCTTGGCCCACTTCCATGTCAGCTAGAGTCCATGGTTCTAATGTACTCTCAGTTCTCCAAGGCTCTGACCCTTGTCCAGCTCTCCCCTGCCGTTTCTTTTGCTCCATGCCTTCAGGACAAGGCTCATTTCCTCTTTGCCACATGTGAAGAGTTGATTTCCTTGGATTCTTTGGAGTAAACCTACAAAATTTCCCAACTCTTAGAAACAGTTCCTCTCCTATAGTTTTTCTCTCTTCCCCTTGCCTTTTGGCAATGTCCTTATAAATGCTTGTGTCCCCAAAGTGACTTCTTCTGAGCCAACTTATCTACCAATGGCTTCCTACAGCATTAATCAGAATCATTCCAAGGCAGTTTACAGTAACCAAGGCAGGTTCAATGATTTGCCTAAGGTGGTGGAGCGTGTTCACACCAGAGTAAGTGTTCCAATTCAGAGTTCTAGGGAGGGAGCCCATTTGTTATTCTGCAGCACAACACACCCTGTTCTTTGGATGTGCCAAGATCCAGAATGTCTGATAGTATCATAATCAGTGGAAGGAAACAAGAAGACATGGGAGAGAAAGCCTTTACATTTATACTCAGGTCAAATCTTGTGTTGAGTGTATTTCCGGATCACAGAAAATTTCCAAGGCACAATATACAACATTTCCATGGAATTTACTGTTTAATGGGGTGTGACCTATGGCATTTATGGGTCCCTCCCCCCATTTTTCTTATTCTGAACTTAACAAACCAACTAAAATGAGCACATCCGTACACAGAGAAGAACAGAAAGAGAGGGCTTTCCAATGAAATTATAAATATTATGTACAGCTTGCTTTTAGTTTCAAGTATAAAACGAATCCAACATGTTACTTTCAAATCAGTCCTGACTGATTCCTTTTGGCCTTCCTTCTCTTTTGTGTATTTCAAAAATATATATTTAATGACCCTCTTATATTTCCTTTCGTTTTTCAACCCTACTCCTAGGTCCCCTCTCACTTTTCACTTACACGCACAAAGAAAAACAAAACCCTTGTAACAAACATGCAAAATCAAATAAAACAAATCCCCATATTGTCCATGTCCAAGTATATATGTGTCATTGTGCATCTTGAATCCATCACCTTTCTGTCAGGAAGTGGGGAGCATAATCCATCATCAGTCCTTCTAGAATTATGACTGGTCATTGTGTTGGGAAGAGGTCTAAGTCTTTTAAAATTGGTTGTCTTTACAATGCTGTTGATATCGTATACATTATCTGCTCACTTCACTCTGTATCAGTTCATACAAATCTTCCCATTTCCCTGAAACCATCCCTTTTGTCATTTCTTATGGCACGATAATATTACATTACATTAATATACCACAACTTGTTCAGCCATTTCTTAGTTAACGTGCTTTCTTTTAGCTTCCAGTTCTTTGCCTGGTGTACTAAAGAGTTCAAAGCATTTTCATATTTATTGCCTTGTTTTGTCCTCCCAGAAATCTCATAGGCAGATAGGACAATGATCTCTTAATTGACAAGCCTAAAAACTCATCCCTCCTGAATTCCCCACAGCATATGATGCCGATGCCGATGGCCGCTCTTTCTTCCATTATGCCCCTTCTTCTTTTGAGTTCTTATGGCACTAACTAATCTCTCTTGGCTCTTCTTCCACCTATCACTTTCTCAGTTTCCTCTGCTGCCTCATTTTCTATGCCACACTCCATAACTGGTCATATCCTAGGGCTCTTTTCTCAGTATAATCCCTGATGTGGTAATTTCATCAGCTGCCATGGGTTCAATTACAGTTCCATGTTGCTGATTCTTCTCTGGTCCCAAACCCAGTCCTGGTATTTCTCCTGAGCTTTAACCACATATCACCAGCTACTGGACATGCTGGACTAGATGTCCTGTGAGTATTTCAAACTCAGTATGTCAGAGCTCATTATTCCCCACCTCTCTTTTGAATGTCTTTATTACTGTTGAACTGGCAGCTAGGTGGTACAGTGGATAGAGCACCAAGCCTGGAGTCAGGAAGGCTCATCTTCCTGAGTTCAAATCTGGCTTACACATTTAGTAGCTGTGTGACCCTGGGCAAGTCACTTAATCCTGTTTGCCTCAGTCTCCTCCTCTGTCAGATGAGATGGAGACAGAAATGTCAAACCACTCCAGTATCTTTGCCAAGAAAAGCCCAAGGGTCACAAAGAGTCGGACACAACAGAAAAACAACTGGTCAACAATTGCCGTTGGATATACCACTCTCCTAATAGTCACCCAGGTTTACAACCTTGGTATCATCCTTGACTCCTTGATATCACTCATGCCACATGTTTAATTAATTGCCTAATCTTCCTGATTCACTCTCTATGGTGTCTCTTGCATCAGTCCCATTTCCCCTCCTAGTACACTCACCATCCTAATTGAGATCCTAATCACCTCTCTCCTGGACTATAGCAATTTGACCTCCCGGCTTCAAGTGTCTTCTTACTCTGATCCCCTCCTCCACACAGCTTCCACAGTGATTTTCTTAAATCAATGATCTGACCATGTCAACCCAGTAAATAAAAATCCCTCCTCTATAAAACAGGAGTGGCTCCCTATTACCTATGGGATCAAATATAAACTCATCTGTTTGGCACTGAAAGCCAGGCCTTTCCTTTATTTCCATTTTTTTTATATTTTACTCATCTTTATGACTACTATAATCCAGCTACATTGGCCTTCTTGCTGTGACTCTCATACAAAGTTCCAGCTCCTAGAACCTCTCTATTTTTGGAAAGCTTCTTTATCCCCACCTCTTTCTCATGGAATCTCAGCTCAAATGACACCTTCTACATGAAGCCTTTCCTGATTTCTCAGGCTATAATTGAGCCCTCCCTCCTCAAACTAGCTTGTATTTCTTTGGTATTTACTCTGTATATACATATATATGTGTTTGTACATATATGTATGTATATATATATATATACACACACACACACATATATATTAAAATAAATATATAAATGTGTGTATGTGTGTGTGTGTGTGTATGTGTGTGAGAGAGAGAGAGAGAGAGAGAGAGAGAGAGAGAGAGAGAGAATGTGGTCTCCCCCATTGTAATGAGGGCATGGCTTATTCTACTTCTGTCTTTATATCCCTTTTCTTTACCCAGTCCTTGCCACCTACTAGGCAGCTAAGTGCAAAAGCATTTATTAAGTGCCTCTTATGTGCTGATCAATTCACTAAGTGTAGGGGATACAAAGAAAGGCCAAAACAAACAGGAAAAACCCCCACTGAGTCCCTGCCCTCAGGGAGCTCCGTGTCCAACGGAAGAGCCAACATACAAAATAAGATATTCAGGCCAACTTGAAGAAGGCAGCAGGATTAAGGGGAATCTGGAAGGGCTTTCTATAGACTTTTGCTGAAGGACTTGAAGGAAGCTAGGAGGTGGAAGTGAGAAGCGAGAGAGTTCCGGGTACAGCGGACAGTTAGTAAAAATGTCCAAATGAGGGGGAAAAAGTGACATGGTCCCCCCTGCTTTACTTAAGCAACTCTAGCTGGTTGATAAATGAAATAATCCCTGCCTTCAAGGAGCGTATATCTCCCTAGGGGAATCCAACAGGAATGGTAATATTGGAGATTGGGGGAAATACAAATAGCCCTAAGCAGGAGTCTGAGCATGATGACCGACTGGGAGGTTTGCTATCTTTAATTTCCCTGGAGTTATAAAGCTGTAATATGGATTTATTGCAGCCCGTGTGCTGGTAAACATTTAACTACAGGTCCTGGGGAGTAAGGCTTGAGGGCATTGTATGCACAACACGCTTTCAATAAGCATTATTAACATTTTATCTATCACTTCCTTAAGCCCAGACAATCAACCACACAATAAATCTCCGACCCTGATTTTCTGGCGGAAATGCTCTGAGGCTATTGGCTGAATTGTGAGGAGCTGTTGGTGAGCTGGCTCCCTGAGTGATTTTGGTAGAGTTGTAAAGAAGGTAATAAGCCGTCCAGGGAAAGTACAGAGAGTAAGAGTGCATGCGGAAAGTGTAAATGGTGCATGATGTGTTTGTTAGTGCAGGTGAGGAGTGAGTTTGGAGAACTTGGATTTGGTCCATTAAGTTCTTGGTTGGAGGGTGAGTCAATGTCTTGGTTAAGGTGAATATTTACAATACGGTACCTACTCCTTAATATGAAAATGCTCAGGACAGTTCCTACCAGCTTGTGAAGGGGCTCCAAGATCTCTGAATAAAGAATCCTTGTTGAGATGAGGAATTGACGGTTAATTTGGTAGGGGTTCCCAGTGCTGATTCTTCTGTAAGGGAATAAACTAATGGAGTAACTAGTATAATTTTTCGAGTACCCTTTCACATGTGAACCCAGAAAAGACATTCCAGGTTCAAAGCATTCCAGTTCAGCCTTCCTTCAAAAACCAAGAGCCCCCACCAGAGTATTTATTTTATGAGTCAGACAGAGGACCTACTAGTTCGAAACAAAAGACATTGAATCAAATAATGTAATGTTGCTCAGTCTTGTCAACTCTTAATGACCCCATTTGGGGTTTTCTTGGCAGAGGTACTGGAGTGGTTTGCCATTTCCTTCTCTAGCTCACTTTACAGATGAGGAAACTGAGGCAAACAGGGTTAAGTGACCTGCCCAGGGTCACACAGCTAGTATGTATCTGAGGCCAGATTTGAATTTAGGAAGATGAGTCTTCCCTACTCCAGGCCTGGCACTCTATCCACTGTTCCACCTACCAAATAACACAGTAATGGCACACAAAATCAGAGCCCAGGGTGGTTCCTGGGGGAGAATCCAAGTTTCTAGTGGGGAGGAGGTGGAAAGGATAGCACCAGGGTTTGGATAAGGTAGTTTGTTTATTTGTTTCCATATCATACTATCAAATCACATTGAATGTCTAGTCCACTAAAAGTTATAGTGAGAAACATTTGGACTATAATCCTCATTCCCTCAGGTTCTTAGTTAAAAAAAAAAATCTTTGTTACTTAGTGTCTTTCATATGTCTAGCCGGCATTCCTAACCTACCATCTGTAGGTCATGTACTTGAGATTTTACCCAGTAGGGGGATGGATGGTCCCACACTATTTACATGCTTTCATCTAAACTCTCTTGTGACTCTTAGTCCCCATTACTGAAATGGCTGCCATAGTTTTAGGGAGAGAAGTCTATAGCCAAGGAAAGGAACCAAGCTAACTGGTTTCCATGCTAACTA